GATTCTGAGGGGTTGACAAGCATAAGGGGTTGAATCCTGGGTTTGTTCGTGACGAGGAGTAGGAACATGTACCTGTCCTTGTGGGTTTACTGCGGGTACTCCAGTTTCCTGACACTTCTGGACACGACCAAATTTTTTTAAGGGAAAAATATACTCTATGTTAGTCCCAAAATGACCTGTTAAGCACCATTTCTTCCTCCCTAGCTGTGGTTCTACCATAAACATACTTGTCTCCCTAACTTGCACCAGTCGTCGTAAATACTCAAAGTTATGAATGACTTCACATATAGTTCATATTTTTGTGTCGACATCTGGTCACAGTACGTGAGAATAGACAATCGTACCTTTTACCGATACAGGAGGAAGTGGTAATGTCAGATCGTCCGTCTGCCATTGTCGGATGAAATTTTCACTACATAAATATCATCTTAACTTTTGATATTTCACAGGCATGCTCCGTGGAATTTTGATAATATTTCTGCCCATGATGAATAAATGTCAGATGACAAGTACAGGGGTTAAGATTTTACGATGTTTATAACTTTTAGCAGATGAGCAGCAGGTTCGGTGGTACAAATAGTGCGACGATCTCCTGAGCAGTTATTCCCCTGTGTTAATCTCAAAATTAGGTTAATTATAACACAAACAACCCAAAACACTAATAATGCAGTATATGAATGTTAAATGAAATGAAATGAAATGGGGTATAACGTTCTACTGTTCTGCTCCGACTGGGCTAATGAAGATGGGCATACTCCATACAGTGTACTATGAGGGAAATTTTGCCAGGGCAGTGGCACTATGGCCTCTTCTTGTATTGAATTCCAACAATAAGGGTTTTTTTTACGTGCACACCAATGTATACACGGGTCCTTGTTTTTTTAGCCCCATCCAAACGACTATTCACTTGTCCTTGTCAGGCCCTCCAATATGAATGTTAAGACCTCGCTAAAAGTTGGTATAAAGTTATAAGACTAGAGTTTAACAGGACATCAACAGCATTATAGTTGTGGGGGATGGGCTCAAACGTGTGTGCTTTCGATCTTAAAGTCTATCATTGAAGTTGTTTCTTAACCCAAGGCTTGTTCTTGTAGGGGGATGGGCTCAAACGTGTGTGCTTTCGATCTTAAAGTCTATCATTGAAGTTGTTTCTTAACCCAAGGCTTGTTCTTGTAGGGTCGTCTATCCAACCTCATGCTAACAACCTCTATGCACAAACAAATTATTGAAACAAAAATTGAACCATAAGTTAGGTCCATAATGACCTAAATTGTGATGAGTGGCTGTTAAACTCATCTCTCTCTCTCTCCCTCTCTCTCTCTCTCTCTCTCTCTCTCTCATCAAGTCATCTAGGGGATTTTTGAATTTGAATTTTTTTTTTGCTGGCTGGAAGTTAATGCATGTGAAAACAGTTTTAAGACATCAGATCTATAAAAACAAAAGATTCCAAAAGTTTACATTAAATACTTGATCTTATGTTTATTTAAAGGTTTAAAATGCATAGTGATTTATATAAAACAGATTTTGTTTATAGATTCTAATCCTAAATATACAATTGTTTTCATTGAGTGGACGGATCAGCAGTACGTAGGTTATTAAATAACCAATACCAGTATTGAAGTTTCAAATTTCACGGGGTACACTCTGGTCACTATGAAGGATATTTTACATCTGGTGGAGATCTGGACAAGAATGTCAATCTTAGAAATATGGTGGCTAAATCAGGGCTCAGGGCTTACATTTCAAAATTTTGTCAGTCGGGTCATTTTTTTTTTGGACATGTTTTGTTTACTTCAGATAGAATATGCAGTTTAAGCATACTCCCAATTTCCCAATTTTATTTTACTATAAAATGAACTGAATGTATTGAGTTTCGAGGTTGAATTCTTTGAAATGCAGCTGTCATGACAAAATTCACTTCCTTCAAATCACCATGATAATATGACAGAGGAAAAACAAAAAAATATCTTAACATGTTCACTTTATATCATAAAGTCTTTCATAGAGTCAAGTGGCGTGGCTTCAATGGCTGTCTGACCACATGGGTTTATTTGGTCCTCTGATTTCCTCCCACTGCTTAACACTCTACACGCAAACAAATTATAGAAATAAAATTCTATCATATATTTGTCCTGAAATGGCCTAGTTTGTTTTTCGTGGACGTTAAACCCACTCTCTCTCTCTCTCTTACTCTCTCTCTCTCCACCAAAATGACCTAGTTTGTGTCTTTTTTCTTACTAAATTGATGACACAACATTAAATCATTCTGGATTTCATTTTTGCATTTTTTTTTCTCAAGGGATGTTAAAAGTCCATTCCGTTTCATATCTATTTCTCTAACGACTGCATCAAGACAGTAGTAAAGTGATAACATCATTGTTTTTACAAACATTATACCTGAACAGCCGGAATAATTTCCACGTTAATAAATTTCATATTTATAAAGTATGGAGGCCAGATGTAAGTTAGTGGGAGGTAAATAGAATTATAAGGAAAGCATCAAACGAAAGTAGCTCAGTAGAAAATATTCACGACCTCCAACTGCAGTTGATAAACTGTTAACATAAGTTTGGGGGATCCAAATGGGTAAATAAACTAATTGTAAAATGACTAGAGTAGAACACCTTAATCATTATATAATGACTAACACTGTAAAAATATAATTGTGACAAAATCACTGATCGAGTATTTTCTGGACAATTTCTGATTTTTCATAGCTTTGATTTGATTGGGAAATGCTAATTGTAGGCCGGTTGGGGAGGTTCGGGTGTTTCCGGAATCCAAAATGGCCGCTTTATATAAATGAATTTTTTTTGGAATAATAACCCTAATCCTAACCCTAACCCTTTTTAGAAGGATGAACTTGGATCTAATTTAACGTTTACCCCTCTTAAAAGGGTTAGGGTTCGGGTTAGTATTCCCCAAAATACTCATTTATAAAAAGCAGCCATTTTGGATTCCGGAAACACCCGAACCTCCCCAACCGGCCTACAATTAGCATCTCCCTCAATTAAGAAAACAAAACAAGAATATCAATGGTAGATAATCTTCCAGATTAAAGTCATTCATCAAGTCAAATATTAAAATCATAATTGTGCCGGTGTACGCCTTCGTCGAAATTAACGGGACCTTGGGCTTTTGTCCCTACCGAATGTCTTTAGCACTCAGACCCTGCAGCTCCATTAAACCATCCCATCTTCTTCTGCATCTGTATATCTTCCTGACATAGATTCTCATTCACATCAAACAGTCAAATATTTCTTTTATACCAAACTTTATCTATCAGTGATAACTGTATTTAATTGGGAATCATTATAATAATATAAACACTCAGATTACGTCTAATAAATAAACAATTAGCAATTTATTAACTCCTGTAGTTACCCCCCCCCCCCCTTTTAAAGAGACAGTTTCTTGTGATATACTTTAAGCAAGTTGTACCTCTCCCATTAGAATATTTTTAAATAAGTGAAAAACTTAATCTATTACTTTATAGTGAACTGAGTTTTTTTGCAAATTTTTGGAGTGACTACAGGGTTTGTAGTTTGAACAAACTAGAAATCCTGTAGTTACTCTAAACTGTGTACTACTTGGATTTGATCATTCTCAAACTTGATTGAACCCAACCGGGGGAGCTTATCTACTGTTGATTTTGATTTATTAATTAAAAGTTAAATAATCAATTTGAGTACATATTAAGCGTAGATTAAGCCATGGAAAATTTCATATTTTCCGGTAAAATGTTGAATAGATATTTTTTTTTTTATTGCATTGAAATGCCCTTTCAGGGTGGCATACAATATCTAAAGGTGAAAAATAAAAGTACAAAAATTTTACTCAGGCACAAATTCAGTGAGATAATGCAAACAAAGTACCCCATTGGAAATAAGCAATGATGTTATATATGTCAAGGTTTATGGGCTATCCTAAGTAAAGGTCTCTTCATGACACCATACCTATCATACTTCTCCATTCTCTTCTCATGTGACTTTCTCAATCATACAATGCAGCACATAGTTCTTATTTCATATACATATCTATATATTTATTGTTGTCATGTTGTAACCTTTACTTGAAGAATAAATAAATAAATACATACAAGATACATAGACTATATGAAACAACATAAAAAACAAAAATAAATGCACATATGACGCACAGACACTTTAAATACAGAAAATCATTATTTGTCTTCTGGCGTATTAAAGCTTTATGTATGATAATTTTATTGATGTAAAGATAATATAGCCCGGAAACCCTGTTGAATACTAATAATATATAAACAATATAATAATATAGACTGGTAGATGGCCATCTGTTTAATCTTTAGTCTATATACAGTTTACAATAACTACACATAGTCAATCTCATACGGACATATGGCTCACTACCAGGCCTCTTATTTCCGTGATAATTACCAGTCCTAACACATCAGGGGGGAGTAAAGTGATCTAATTTGTGCACTTTAGATCATAAGATGTGTCAAGTAGCATGATTCCGATCGAGAGAGAAATGGGGTTTAACATCCACTCAACACAAACTAAGTCATTTCGGGACTAACACATGGTTCAATTTTATTTCAATAGTTCGCTTGTGCGTAGGGGTCTTTAGCAGTGGGAGGAAACTGGAGGACCCGGAGAAAACTCACAAGGTTGGACAGGCGCCCCTACTCCTTGTCACGCACAACCGGGGAATCGAAATCACACCAGTTGACTCAATGACAAGACCTTATCATACAGCGTGCACATGCTAGCCATTCGCCCATCCAACCCACCTGCATGATTTCAATCCCAAGCTTGTTATGTTATAAATATGCTTCTATTTGGTTGATCAATTTTCAAGTTGTTACAGACGCTGAAATGGTATTTCAATTAATTACAAATGTCAGCTTTATTATTTCACTTTTGTTCTTTTAGGTTTGGAATTTTATTTTAGACAGATTGACCTGTCGTGTCGTTCATGTCTCTGTTTAATGACCAGTGTATATTTTATTCTTTCAGACATTACTGAGAATATGGGATTGCTTCTTACTTGAAGGTCCAAAGGTTTTGTTTCGATTTTGTCTGGCCATTTTGAAGATGAACGAAAGAGAGATTCTGATGAAGAACGACACAATTAGTGTGATGCGACATTTGAAATCCTGTGCTAAAATGACTTATGATGTTGAAGGCTTAGTAAAGGTATATTTCTTTTTTTACATGTACAATATTGGCAAATTTTGGCTCTTGTGGTCAAAATCTATGGGAGTGCAGGATTCACCAGTCAATGAAATGCAAAATTTCATGTAATTCATAAATTTGAATATAAAAAAATCAGGAAGTACCACATCAAACTGAAACCGAGACCATGGTGGCTTAGTGACAGACCAGACCCCGAGTTCACAAAGCATTCTCCGACTTAAGAATATACTCAAAATTATTCGCCTTATTTCAACTAAAATATAGCACTTTATAAAACTTTTGTTGTTTTAATGTATCAAATACATCAATAAGAAACTATGTGCAAAGTTTTGTGTTTCTGGATCAAAGACATTTCTCATTAACAGTGATTGGAAGTTGAGTAAATTCTTAACTTAAATCTGAGAATGCTTTGTGAACTTGGAGTCTGCTTCCTCATTAACTAGGAGGTTGCCATTTGTGGTATAGGCTGAGAATGTTCCTTAAGATTTTTTAACCTGGTTTCCCCTTGTGAAAATGACTACCGTATTCGTTTGGATGGGACCAGAAACTATGGTAACATGTATTCCATTGGCAGTAACGTATTCCCCTTACAGTTAGAAAGTGAAATCAAGTAGGCTGTAGCACCACTGTCCTGGCAAAATTTCCCTCTGAGCCTATCTTTGGTAGTCCTGGATTGATGTAGAAAAACAGGATGCTGTGGTTGAATGTTTTAAAATATCTGTTTGATTTTATTTCAGATAGCGTTTGAAGATCTGAAACCCTTCCCACATCGTCAGGCCATTAAAAGTAAACAGGCGTTTTATCTGACTTCATTAAAAGAGAAATACAAACGAAGGGAATTACAGAAAATGGCCTTTGCTGAACGAGAGCATATGGTGAGTCTAGATAGATAAATAATATGTCCAATATACCTATCAATCCTTACCGATATATTCACTGCCTTCGACGACTTTATCTTAATAGAAACTTAAGAATAAATTTTATATTTTATATATTTCCAATGAAGGGAAAAGTATATGTCCATTTTATATACCCATCAATCCTTACCAATCTATTCACTGCCATGGATGACATTTATTTTTATAGAAACTTAAGAATAAATTTTACTTTTTATATATTTCTATAATGAAAGGGAAAAGTATATGTCCATTTTATATACCCATCAATCCTTACCAATCTATTCACTGCCTTCGATGACATTTATCTTGATAAAACTTAAGAATAAATTTTATTTTTTATATATTTCTATAATGAAAGGGAAAAGTATAATATGTCCATTTTATATACCCATCAATCCTTACCGGTAAATTCTATTTCTCTAAATATAAACTTAAAGATACATGCTTTATGGGCATATTTATGTTATGAAATATACCATAAGGAAAAGTATGTCCATTTCAGTTTTTCAAATACTCAACAATGCTTACCAGTAAATTGGTTTCCAAATACTATCCTAAAGATGCATGCCTGTATTTAGGTCATAAATTTTATTTTTATATACAGTATTTCTAATGAAAGGGAAAAGTGTGATATGTCCATTTCAAATACTCACTTATACTTACCAGTACATTCACTGCCATTTGTCTAAATGCTGGTTATAAAGGAATGAATTCACATAAAAAATGTCCATCTTTAAAAAATGAAACATGCAATCTTTCACTTGTTCAAAAAGACTGTTTTAAATGTCAAATGTTGCTCATTCATTTAATCAAAATCAGATTTTACATATCAAATTTATATTTTGAAAGACTTGCTATTATAAAGTATGAAATGCTCGAACTTATTTCCACAATTTTATTTTTAAAACTTATTTTTTTTTACATATAACTTTCAAATATTTTATATATAACTTTCAAATATTTTATTTATTATTAAAACAAATGATCAGATTTAAATTAAAGAAATAATCTTTAAAACTGAAAAATCAAAATGTATTTATTATTTCTGTCAAATTTTTTGAAAATCTTAATAATAAAAAAAGACAAACAGAAATGACATTTATTTTATTTTTATGAATTGGGACTTTCAGCAGAGACCTTAGTTTGCATTAGTCAATTTGTTTTTTGTTTGCATTTCATTATCACTGTCTTCTGTTATTTTTAACTGTCTATCCAAATATCAACTTAATGCCTTAATTAGATTATGTCAACTAAGAGATGATCTCAACAGTGATTATTTTTGAATTGATAGATAGATTTAATTGACACTTTTACAGCAAACCAAAGTAGGGTGTGATTTCTTGGGCCTTGAGGGGGGACAGCCATTGTTTATGTAAGCCTTGTGTTCCATTTTGATTGATTCTTTACACCTCTGATGACATCATGGGGGTCAAAGGTTGATTGATCTGTAGGTTATGAAATCCTATTGGTTGGTTGAAATTGATGACAGAATGTGTGCAAAATTTTGGTCATTCACATGTTCACCACGAGGTCAGATTGTCCATTTTGCATCCCTTGTGATGACTTAATACATCTAAGGGTCAACTTAATTACATCATAATGTTTATTGGAAGGTGACTTTAATGTATATGGTCATAGATATATTATTCAACAGCCATTTCACTACATTAGCAGTTATATGCTAAAATGGAGGAACTATGAACTTTAAATCAATTGTATATATTTGTTGGATGGATATTTATTCAGTACATGAGTTTGAGCAGAAGCAGACCAAATTCATCTCAAATGATAACTTCTGTGAGTGTGGAAGCAGAACAAACTGATTGAGATGACATATTCAGTCAGGGAGTTGTAGCTTATACTGGAAACAGAACAAATTGATCTAAAATAATATTCGGAATATGAAATGTGAAAGCACAACAAACTGATTGAAATGATAGATTCAGTCTTAGAGAGTTGTTGTTTGGAGTGAAAGCAATTGATAGATTTTGAATTTGGGATTGGAGTAATGTTCATTTATTAAGAGGTTGTATATGGGAAAATGAAATAATAACCAGTCCAGATTGAACATGGATTAAAATTCATCAGCATCTGGGATATAATTTATTATTAATCAACATCAAAGTGAACAAAATGTCTTCAATCATTGACATGATCACAAAATGGCTGAGACGACTGAAGAACAACTCCAAAAATCAAAAAGAACAGAAGAAAAAAGTATGAAGAAAATCGTGTATTGTTTTTAATTATTCTGTGCCAAACGGAATTATGACAGGCCATATTGAAAAGTGCTTTTCACCTGTTTTCTTTCCAGAGCATATCTCAGAAATCATTTACAATATCTTTTTGAAACTTTGTACACACATCAACCTATTATAGTAATTGTGCCCTGTTTTTTTAAATAGAAATTTTTTAAATTTCAATGATTTATTTTTGGTATCTGAGGAATATTGATGCCAAAGTCTTTTTTACGGAAAAGTCTTTATCCATTCTACACTATTTTATAAAATCGTTTCTTCTGTCTGTCTCTCTATAAATGATTTCTGTATGTTTCAGTTTATGGCACTGGAAGCTGAAGCTGGAAGTTTCCTGTCTTTTGAATGCTGCACCACAAGTCCTTCAGGTATGTTTTGATCTTATTAACCCCATTTACAGAATTGTGGTTAATCCAGTCATGGAACCTTTCATGGTGTGGTCATAGCCATTAACAAAATTAACTTTATTGAAAATGACCATAATTTAGTCAAAATGACCATAATTTAGTCAAAATGTCCAAAATATATTCATATAATGTCAATTTTTCTTTAATAAAAATATGATAACTCAGCTCTAAATAATCTTTTGAGAAACATGACGATTGAATCAAAATCATTGTGAATATGGTTTCAATTAACAACAACAAAAACAGGTTTTATATTAATTCATGTCTACTGTGTACAGGGTATGTTGTGGGTAAAATCTGTCATTTAATAAGCTATTAATGTAATTAGTCTGTTTATAGTCTGTGATAAAAAGATTAAAGTTATGTCACATGTTAATTAATAGACTTGTTAGATATTGATTGATTAGATGGTTATTATTAACACCCCTGTAATTAGATATCTCTTATCAATATTATATCATAGTGAGATATGAACACCATAGGGATTATATTCAAATATATCATTAATTACCAATTTATCTGTAATTGTTATATATATCTTCTGGCTAATTGAAAATATGCCTTTATGTCCAAATCCAAAATAACCTTCTGGCCACACCAATCTGATTATTAGTTCTTCGGGAAGAACACTAAATGAATTGAAATGAGGTTTAACGTCCTACTGTTCTGCTTCGACTGGGTTACTGTGTACTATGAGGGAAATTTTACCCAGATATTGGCACTACTGCCAGGGGATCTTTAACATGCATGCCAATGTGTACACATGACCACGGTTTTTCATCCCATCCGAGCAACTATATGTTGTCCCTTGCCAGGCCCTGGTCCTACGCCAGACACTCCCAATGAACTTTCTCGGCCAATGCAGGGATCGAACACGGGACCTCCTGGTTAGCGACCCAACGTCTTACTCACAGAGCCAGTGTGGCTCCCAGACCTGTAAAAATTCTGCTTCCTATTAATTTAAAAATAACTTAAAAAGAATTGTTAGCTCTTCTCAAAAGCTTATACTTCCAAACTTTTAAATTTCAAAACTTGAAACAAATTTGAAACAAACATCACTCACAAGACCCAAGAGTCTGTTCATTTATTATCAAAACCAATGAAGTAAAAAGTAAATTGTTTTGGCCCTAATAAAATAAACATTAACAGCTACAAAAAAAGATTTTAATGTGACTGGACCTGAGAAATGTCTTTGTTCATGAAGGGAATGCCAAGATCAAAAAAGCTATTGAGGGTTATCTCTCGGTCTCTTTTAGCTTTGTATAATGTCCATTTAATTGGGGCTACAGATTTAGTTAAGAGACACCTATGACCTTGATAATTAATGTAGTCTTTGTTGAAAATCACCTTTTTAAAAAGATAACCGTGTGAGTTCTAATATGTTATATAACAGGATTTGATATTGAAAGACATGCAAATGGTTATTATTTCTTTTCAGATTGTTTTCTGTTAAGACTTTGATCTTAATCCCCCAAAAGTTTCTGTTTTTGTATTAAGTTTTGTTATTGTCTCAGTGAATTAAAATATTAGTTTTAATCCCATAATCCCAAATGATATTACAAGGTTCTCTTCTGTTTAAAGTATTAGGTTTTGTTCTTAATGAATTAAAGATTAATTTTAATCCCATAATCCAAAATGATATTACAAGTTTCTCTTCTGTTTAAAATATTAGGTATTGTTCTTAATGAATTAAAGGTTAGTTTTAATCTCATAATCCAAGTTTCTCTTCTGTTTAAATTATTAGGTATTGTTCTTAATGAATTAAAGACTAATTTTAATCTCATAATCCAAAATGATATTACAAGTTTTTGTTTTGTTTGAAGTATTAGGTTGTACTGAGAGAAAAGTTAGTTTAGAATTAAGACATTTATAATCTTTCCCATTGTAACAGAATCTTAAAAACAATGATTGGAACATTATATTGCCTGATGAAAAAAATGTCAAATTAGAAAAAACAAAAGTGAATGTCCGTCATCATTATGATTTCCCCATTAGATTTTCAAGTCTTATTGACTTGATTCCCAGTGTAAACCGAAAAGAACCTTCATGATTTTTTGAAGCCCGGCCTTCACTTGTCAGGGGTCATGCCTTTGAGTCTGACAAGGAAAGTATGCATAGTTCTTCAGATGGGATGGTAAGCTGAGGTCCACCCATGTAGTGACCAGGTAAAATTCTCCTACCTGGTGTTCCACATGTAACCATGGGTTGGTGATTGAAGTATTGTATTGACAAGATATTAACCCATGTACATTCCTATCTCATTCCCATTTCATTCCTATCCCATCCCATCCCATCCCATTCCATTTCTATCCCATTTCAATTTCATTCCTATCCTATCCTATCCTACACCATTCCCATGCCATTCCTATCCCACTCCTATTCCATCCTATCCCATCCCATCCCATCCCATCCCATCCCATCCCATCCCATCCCATCCCATCCCATCCCATCCCATTGTTAGTTAATTCAATTCAATTTAAACAATATATTTTATATATGTGTTGATATTTTCAGGTGAGATTTGGTTGTGTTACGGAGAACAGAATCAGTCACATGTGTGTCGTGTTAATTGTTATGAGGGGGTCATGCTAGATATATCCTTGGAGGTAATAATTTACTTGATTTTTGTGTTTTATTTCATAAATTTAAATCATTCTTAGCTATATGGATTTAATTCTACAGACTAATAATAATTAGAAATTAAAAATTTGTATGTTCATCTTTTAATGTTCATTTCTAAAATAAAGAATTAATAAATAAGAAAATATATTTGTTTTGAACTGTTTAAATGATTCTGCTAAATATTCATGAAAATAACATTTATTTGAATAAATGCATCATCAGTTTCAGTGTTTCTCAGAGTATTTGGATTTTTATTTACTCGTTTTCAAAACAAAATAAAACTTTCTTTTTCTTTCTTTATTTTTTAATTTATTTTTTGATTTATTTTATTTGTTTTTAGTTTGATTCGAAGATGATGTCCATGTTGGCTTTACCTAACAACATTGTCTTCTATGGCTCTCTGTCATGGCTGCTTTATTCCTATGATATGCAGCAAAAGTAAGTTTTATTTTTTATTGGGATATCAAATATTTATTTGAATAAAAAAGTTAGATTGAGCGAGAAATGGGGTTAATTATCCACTAGGTCAATTTTGGACAAACATTTCAATAATTTGTTTGCACATAGGGGTCTATAGCAGTTGAAGGAAACCAGAGGAAACCCACCCCTAGCCACGAACAAGCTAGGGATCGAAACCACACCACTTGACTCAATCACAGACCTTATGATATAAAGTGACCAATCTGGCTATTAATGTTATCCAAGTCAAAGGCATTCCTCTAATTAGCTTTTTTTATATTGAGTTGCCTAAGTTTTTAGTTTCCTATAGATTAGTTTCTTTTGATGTATGTTAGTTTTATTTCTGTCATCCAAAATTATTGTTTTTATATCATCAAAAATTATTTTATTTCTGTCCATCATTAAATATTATTTTATTTCTGTCATTAACATTTTGTCTATCATTAAAAAATATTTTACTTCTGTCATTAAAATTTTGTTACTTCTGTCATTAAAAATTATTTTGTTAATTTTAGAAAAGAAAGATGGCATATTAGACTCCATGATGCCGTTCTCTCAGTTTGTTCATATTCTGAAGATGATCATCAGTTTAGAATATTTGCAGGATTAGCAGACGGTACAGTTGCCATTATTGAGGTAAATATTATGGGATGTAGAAATGAAGCATCTGTTTATAAAGTATTTACAGTACAATGTGCCCTGACTTTGTACAGATATTTTAATTCTAACCGTTAAATATGATTTAATTAAACAAGTATTACTAAATGCCATTCAAAGAATACGATAATGCTATATGAACCACTAGCCGACCATTACTTTATCGCAGCCATCTTGAAATTGTGACATCATATCAAAAAACAAAGTCTGTCAATTGATGATCAAGCATGCCAAGTTTCATGTCAATTGATGATCAAGTATGCCAAGGGAATTTGCTGAAAATTTCAGTCAAATTGATTCACTCTGAACCGAGAAATTAGCGATTGAATTTTCCGTTCTAGTCTTGATCATCATTACTAAAGTCGGTATGATAAAAAAACATAGTCTCGATTATCCATTTAATGATTTAATCATGAATGAAAGTTGAGCAGCAAATCGGATCCTAATCCAGTAAATATCGTAGGCAAGCGATGACAACGAGAGTTGATTATGGTCTGGATAACTTAATTAATTAATAATTTAGATAACATTTCAGGCCTAAAGTTAGACCTTCAATGGACAGATTTAGCTCTTGCATATTATGTTTAAATTATTTACATATGAAGGAGTGATAAATCAAATAGGTAAAGACTCTAGCTTGTAATTTTGTGTATATTTATTTGTTTTATAGAATGGAGAGAGTGCTATAGCTCCTATAGATGTTATGTATATACCTGTTGGTCAATCACCTGTTACCTGTGTTATGGTAATAGGTAAACAACTATGGTGTGCCTGTGGTAATACTGTACATGTTATACATGCTGGGTAAGTTATCAAATTATTTCATATCTAATGATTAATGTCTCTGTGCTTCATTTGCATTTTGCGGAAACATCAAATTATCCAAAGTTCAATCCAAGATAAAAATGTAGGCCTACTCTTGACTATTTACCATATTGTAAAGAAAAGAATCAATTGTTGATATTCCGGGAATATATTACAAATGTTTAATTGATGGTATATTTTTTATATATAATGCATTTAAAAGGAATATGTCCTGAAAGTGTTTTGCTTATCTAAATGCCAAACAAACTATAGAATGTGTGAATCTCATAAAATAACAAATTATCTCCCTTGACACACTAATATTAAACAAAACAAAGCATGAGGTGCATTATTAAAGTTCTTGGTACCTGTGATACCTTGATGTGATTTCTTGATGCATTTTAATCCACTATAGATCATTTGAGTCTACTATAGATCCTGTGAATCCAATATAGATCATTTGAGTCCATTATAGATCATTTGAATCTAATATAGATCATTTGAGTCCTCTATATAATTGTTTGAGTTCATTATAGATCATATGAGTTCATTATAGATCACATGAGTTCATTATAGATCATTTGAATTCATTATAGATCATTTGAATTCATTATAGATCATTTGAGTTCATTATAGATCATTTGAATTCACTGTAAATCATTTGAATCCATTTTAGATAGTTTGAAATAATTTTCTGATCTACACAAATCCATGTTTTTCTGGCATAGCAATGTTAAGAAAGTTAACTGCTATTGATTTCAAATCATATATATTTAAAGAAATATTTTTATTATTTATCTGCAGTACTCTGGATGCCATGGATAATTTCACTGTTTCGAGTAATCCTTATGACCATATTTTGTCACTGGAGCCAAGTATGACTGGCGTGTTTATCTCAGTTCGTGGCTCCTCCATCTTAGAATTATGGGATCCTCAAACTCTTAGCTGTAAGATGCTGTATGACACTAGATCTTGTCGATACCCAAATCTGAGAAAGGTAAGAACAAGTTTGTTCATTAGTTTTGAAACTAGACAGTATCGTTTTTGAGAAAATTGGAAGCATTGTTAAAGTCATTGCTAGTTGTCTATTTTTGGTTATTTGCTAAGTAAATTGGTAGACTTTTAGTTTTTGTCCAGATGGTATTGCCTCTAAATCTATCCTCTTATCCTCTCTGTGTATTTTTTGTCCAGATGGTATTGCCTTTAGATCTAAGCCCTTATCCTCTCTGTGCACCAGCTCTGGCTCACTAACCAGTAGATCCCATGATTATTCTCTGTGTTGTCGCCCGTATTGCTCCTAGTGTTACACTGGCCAAGAAAGTTCCTCAGGAATTTTCAGCATGGATTTTTTTTGTCAGTGGGGCAGAATTGGGGGCCTGGTAAGGAACAGTATCTAGTTGTTCAGATGGAACGAAAAACTAAGCTCCTATGTACACAAAAGCACCTTTGATGAAGAGTGAGCAGAAATACTACTGTCCGGACAAAATTTACCTAATCTTTTCATTTCCCATGTAGTGGTTGATATGAGACATGTTTCTGAGGATAGTCTAGAATTAAGAATCTCAATGTTCCAGGTGCTAACTTGAAAAGAAATAAATTCCTTTATAATTGATTCATTTAGAAATGAAAAGATAAACAGATCTTGATTTTACTTACAAAGTGCAATTTTTGAATTTCAGGAAGACGATGCCTACTTCAATAGAGCTCGAATCACTTCCATAATGTCATACGAGAACACAGTTTGGGTCGGAACAGGAGAGGGAAATTTGATGATCTACGACGTGATAGAAACGGGAGCATGTAAAACACCATCAGAACAGTCGTTTACAGGAAGCTTGGCGGAAAACCTTTGTCTGGTTACTGACGAAAATGATCCGATTCGAAAAGTGGAGGAGAAAGTTCGGGATATGTATTATCGGAAACTAAATGAAGGTATCAGTCTGTCTCCCGTTAAACAGGACAGTCAGGTGGCCACGACTCCATCATCCCCAATTAATATAACAGGGAAAGCGTCGGACAACATGGTGGCCATGTCAGTTGGAAGTACGATCTTTGTTGGCAATGTCGAAGAATCAATTTCTGTAAAGAATAAATTTCTGTCCTCCACACCTTTGAATTCTCCAGATAAGAGACTGAAAGACAGAGGAAATGTTACCAAGGAAACAGAATCAGAATTTCACTCGTCTCAGGGTAGTTTCTGGTTTGATAGTTGTGGTGATAGCTTTTCTCATCATTGTCAACATGGCGGGAATTCAAATGAAGATGGAGACACCACTAAAGGCAGACGCAAGCTTTTTGATGATTCACATTCAAGTGAATTGTGTAATGGTCATTTGATGGAAGAATCCGAGGGTAGCACTGGTACTGTTAACGATGACACAGATGATTCAAAAACAACCAAAGATGTCTTTCCAGATGGACACATTCCAAGTAAGAACGATCTTCTTTCACGATACGTCCTGGCTCAGAGTAGAAGCGTTCATCAGAAAATGAAAGAAAAGAAAAAGGGAGACAACCTGATCACAGAATCAACAGAAGTTATCAGCAGTGGTGAACACAAGTCTCACAGTTTTGACGTCGTAGAAATGCCAGAAAGTGCTAATTCAAGTTTGGTTGTGATTGACTCAGAACATTCCGGAGAAGCAGTTGAAAAAGAAAATAATGAAAAATCTAGAACGGGAAAATTAGACAATGAAAGCATCGTTAATGCTATTAATGAAGCTAATAAGACAGATATAACGGACACGGAACTGTCAACAGGTGTGACATCTGGCTTTGCCGGTGACTCAGGTCACGTCAGTGATATCAGCGACAGTGTGGCAACTACAAATAACTCTCCTAAATCTAACAGTGCTAATAAAGACACTTACAGTGTTTCCAATCAGTTGAACAACAAGTGTGTCAAGTGCACGGACAATAGTTTAACTTTGAGATCGGACATAATTTGTACATGCAATAAAACGAGGTCAAACGGACGCGTGGACAATTTTATTTCATTACAGAAAACTGTGCAAGACTTGGATTGTGTGACATGCAAATCTCAGTCATGTGACTGTTACAAAAATAAATCAGACAATAATAAAAGATGTGCTAATTGTGAAAATTGTAAAAATGGTAATATTTGCAGTAATTTTAATTCCACTGGAACATCGTCTTGTGGAACCTCGCGTAATACTTCTGTAAATAAACTCAGCACGCACTCAGAAGACTCACACGTTCCCCAAAGTACAGATTCGGAAGTGGATCAGGATGAGGTTTTTACTGATGCTAAGGAGAGTCCATTTCATTCACGATCTACACTAGCTGTGAGTGAACAGGATGAAGAAGCAACCACACCAACCAGGCAGATCACAATGGCTGATAGTTTCCTTGGCAACCAGGATTCAGAAAGTGAAAGTAGTGTGTATAGTTTGAAGAGTGCTAGGGAACAACTCACACCCAACAGAAGCAGTTCATCATCTCTTTTGAGTGATCGTTCAAGACTTGAATCTTCCTCCACCGTGCCAGAAAAGTTCCAACCCAAAAATCGAGAAGCTCAATACCGAATTGACTTCACCAACATTCAAGTGGATACAGATGTTGAAAGTAACGTCTCTTTCTCGCTTCATGGATCTTTGAGCTCGGAAGCAGATTACAAACAGGTAGAGGAATTCTTGCACCACAAGAACGGCCTGTCAGGAATCGATCCTGCAAGTTTAATTTTCCCAGCAGACTTCGATATTTCATCTTTAGACAACACAGAGGACAAACTAATGCAGCTTTACAACAACAATGGCTGCTTCGGAACACCAAAGAGTAATCAGACGTGGTCAAGTTATGATGAAATCTCCACCCCGTCGAGAGTGGATGTAGATTCGGTTAGTGCCAAGAGTGCGCGTCCCAATATGTTACGAGTAAACTCCATTCAGAGTAACATCAGTGCTGCCACTAGCATCATCTCTGCTACTACCATGTCAGAATCTCTCTACTCTGCCGACCTTTGTCTCCAGGCTAAAGTCAAGATTTCAGATAAACCAGTCAAATGCTTGCTCAAAGACACGTAAGTATAAAAAAAAAAACATTTTCAGGCCTAGAAATAATCCTTTTAGTTGAATCTCGTAGCTGTCCAGACTAAATTTACCTGCCTCACCTCACATTGTACAGATGTTGTAAAAAAAAAATTAATTTATTCTCAAAATGACCGAAGTATTGATGAGACATTTAATCACATTAAATTCCATTTCAAATCAAAGGCGGATCCTGTTTACTTTTGTATCTTTTATAAATGTCCGCCATCTTTTCTATGGTGTGACCTCTCCCGTTTTCAAATTTCATGTATCTGCACTTACAGATAATCAGAATGTTATAAGAAATAAAACAAAAAACCTATTTAAAGTCATCTCAGCCCAAATATTAACGGATTGGAATTTCTTGATCCACTTGTTTTGGCCAATTGTACATATTTTAAAACCATAAAATATGTTCTTCATTATAGGTCTCAAGCTGATCCCATTATGCTGAGCATGTCTGGTTCCTATGGCGACGATGAAGCTGTTTTAAAATGGAGGAAAGAAGCAAATGAGGTAGGTTGATAAATCTTTATCCATCATATATATTGCGAATGTCTCAAGATCCCTTTCCGTATCTTTATCTGTCATGTAAAACATGAAATTATTGCAGGCCTGATAATATTAATATTAATGTTAATATTGCGAATGTCTCAAGGTTCAAACACATTCTTTTTCACCTGTACATGTGTAATTAAAATGTCTCCAGTAGCTCGGTTATTTCAGCTTTAACCTAAGGCTTTTCAAACAACGTCAAAAATTTAAACAGATGTCACTTATATTTCTTAATGAGAGCTTCTCACTTGAATTGCCAGTCCTAGACACGGCCACAGATCACCTCATTTATCATCAACAATAGAAAGTTTTTATCCTTGGTATAACCACTGTTTTATTTATATTTTACAGATGATGTGGACGAATGAACCTATTTTAGAAATTTGCCCTCATACAAAAATCGCCAAGATGCCTAACTACATGAGACGATTATCGTTGATGTCATCTCCTGGAAGTAGTGACAGTTCCGTTATCAGTATGAAGAGATTGAACATGAGCCAATAAAATTGGCTGCTACGATTTTACGTCTGCGCAGAAGACATTGGAACATTAATTACGTCAACAGATCGGCAGGGGGGAAATGATGCAGCATCCAGAAGATGGGTTAAGATACATAAAATTGTATGTACTTGTATGCATGGAAATGAAAAGCAGATTTGATGTGCAGTGCTGAGAGATAATTCATTAATGGAGAAAGAACATTTTAAACTTCTTTGTGATAGTTTCAACTTCTTTGGGATAATTTCAAACTGCTGATAGTCCACTTGTAGATCTTATAGTTCAAATATCTGAGAATATTTTAAACTTCTTTGAGATAATTTCAAACTGCTGATGGTCCTTTTGTAGATCTTATAATAACTGGTAATAAATGGTCTTCCACATAAACTCAGGATTATTAAATGCAATTTTTAAGGGTTTTGTAGTCGCAGAATATTGTTCAGGTGACTTGTCTTAAAATTCTAAGAATATTACAATATTTTGGTGACTTGTCTTGAAATTCACTTAGTTTCTGTTTGGTGGTTTGCCTTTAAAAAATAAACTCCTGATATCGTACCTTAACAAAAATAATTAAAATGGGTTTATTTTTTACATTAAATATTTTGAAAAATGCACCGAAATCAATGGAACGAAGAGAAGTGTAGCTCAAATTTAATTTAAATTTTGTTTTCCGCCAACCCTTTTAACCCTGTTAAATGGGATAATTTGTTTGCTTAAGAAATATGATGATAGCTTGTGAAAAATATAAATGGACATTGGATGTTTTAATTTCTATTTTTATGTTTCTGGAAGAGATACACAATATACTTAAGTCTCAATAAACGATTTTGCATTATTTTTCTCTCTCTCCCCAAACATTTTGAAAAAACAATATTCCTTTCACAAAGTACTGTTTGCATGAATACTGATTGAATTATATCTAAAGCTATATTCCCTCTGAAAATTCTATTTTATTACATATCTGAATACCAAAGCCATTTATACTATATTACATTTTAACTCTGTAACTTTACCATGATATTTTTTTGTTGTTATATAATAGCCCATATTTGAACCCTTTTATAAATAAATATTTTGCGTTATTTATATTTTGTGCACCTTCTCTCATTCCAGTTGATTTCTTCATTTTTCGTTAAACCTTTATCGAGGAAATCCAATAGGATCCAGAGAGATACTGCACATTGAATAATAAAAAATGTGTAAATAGCTATTTAAAATTACAGCAACTCCTCCTTAGTCTCATTTCGGCAATTTTGATTAAAATAAATTATTGAAACATTGAGAATACGGCAATTTTGATTAAAATAAATTATTGAAACATTGAGAATACGATTTAAATTTAAAGTAATAACCATTTCAAAAATTATTGATAATCATAACGATATCCTTAATCATCAGGGGTCTCGTTTTATTCATATTTGCCAGTTTTGACTGACTTACTGTCAAATTGACTGACTAGTGAAATTACCTTCCAGTCAATTTGAATACCTTAAAATTAAAATTCTAAATAATGTAAGCTTAAAACACGACAATACAGTTAAATGTATAGTTTTAATTTTGTAAAAACACTTCAAAAATAGAAATATTTATGTAAAATTGGGATTATGCTAAAAAAAAATGTCGCATTCTTTGGAAAAAATATCCGATATCAAGAATCTATGTCAAAAATTGACCAACTGGCAACATTTTGAAATGAAAGCTTTGTAATAAATTTCACAGAATCTTTCTGTCTATACTTAATACTTTATTTCACTCTCGTTCTTCATTGTGTTCTGTGAATTTGTCATATTTTTTTGTTTGTCAATTTTCCATATATTCTCTTTAATAGATTTATGTGTTCGACATAATTGTAAATGGGTATTTGTAGTCGATTTTTTTTTTTTTTTGTTAAAATAATTTTTGGATTTTTATAATTTTTTATTAATATTATAAGCTTTATTATTTATCCTGACGATTTACTATAATTTTTGTTGTTATATAATTAAATGGAACCGTGATTTGTTTGCTGTTCTTTATTTCATGACTTAGACTTTTGTCTAGAATTCAAATCATAATATATTTTTCCAAAGATCTTGTCTGCTTAGTAGTATGGAATTGATTCCAGCTTAATGAGTTATGATTGGGAAGTTGTGTCGTATATGGTTTTTGCGGACACTTCATCATGAATGATTTGGTTTATAGACATAGAATGATTCGATTTTGTGATGTTTCTTCACAAATTGTTCCCCCCTCTAGAAGGCCACACTGTGCAATGCATAATAAATAAGTAAAATGTAGTCTACAAAGTGATGGAAAATAATGGCAGAATTTGAATGTGTATAATTTATTTTATGCAATATTGAATATGATATTTATGTGTATATATTCTGTATATTTATGAATAATATTAACTATTTATTGTATATTAAATGACCTTTGACCCCGAAACCAAATAAAAGGTCAAAGTTGAAAGGTCTATGATTATGAAATATGTAAATAAAATGACCTTTGACTGTGAAACCAAATGAATGGTTGAAGTTGAATATGTAAATAAAATGTAAAAAAGCTTTCATATTTCTTGATGAATATTTTAATATGTACAAAGAATGAATATAAATTTGTACTTTTTACAAGCTTGTCTCGATGTTAAGCCAAATGGGGCTGTCTATATCTTGTCTTAACCTAAAGGGATCTGTTACTATTTTGTAATCTCTATATTTTTGTAACTTTTTGTACATATTTCTTATTGTTGAAACATGCATATCGTATAAACAGGGAAAAGGTTACATAATAATATAAGAACTGCTGCGGAATATAGTTACGCAATTTTAATATTTTGATATGAAGAGATATTGTTTATCAATCAGTTTTATTTATAATGATATATAGATTGATTCATGTACATATATAGAGATATATATATATTTTAGTTTGTCTCATGTATTTTATAATAATATGTTTTTGCCGAAATTACAAATTGCTTTGAATGGGTTTTATGTTGAGAAATATGACCAAAATGTGTCAATGTTTTTGTGCATAGTATTAACCAAATAGAACATTTTGATGGATATTTCTTCCCATACCTTTAAGCATTTGTTTTAAATGGGTTTTATGGAGAGAAATATAGCAAAAAAATGTTTCAATGATTTCTTACATGGTATTAACCAAGTTGAACATTTTGGTGGATATTTCTTCCCATACAACTACCTCTAAGCAATTGTTTTTCGATAAAAATGTTTTGTTATATAAGTAAGTTGTATCTGTGATAATGTGATACAGGTGAGGTCAAAGTTCCGATAGCCTCTTATTTTAATGTGTCTGTTCTTGGAATCAGACACAATGTCATCTTTCTTGTTAACAGTCGGTTCCAGAATATTTTGTCAGATTTTAAAATTTGGATCCATGTGTTCAATCAAGCCTGCATTTGTCAGAAGGCAGGATAGACATATTTGTCTCGTTCAGGCCGTTTCTCTTTTGCGTTTTGTCAAATGTTAAAAAAATTGAAATGACTCAGACAAATAATTTCATAATGAGCACTTGTCTGAAATTGAATTAAAAAAATGTCGACTGGATAAAAAAGAATGAGGTGAACGGCTGGATAATAAAGACGGATGGCATAATGTTGAGTTTTTATTTAAATATTTTGTATAGTTTATTTGTATATTTTCATTTTTGTACATAGTGCAAGCGACAAGCAACTAGTGAGTGAGAGTTGGCTGTAAATAAAGCAAGCGTTTTAGTGATAATATTATACTGTTGATGATAATGCGATGGTCTATTATTATTATTGTTAATATTTTATATATATTATATATAGTACATATTCTAGTCAGTGCTTTTTGTAGGGAAGATCTTGTTTTCTTCCTCTCTAATCAATAAACATAACAAAATAATACTTGTTTTCCTTCTTGTGTGGGAATCACCATGGCTCAGTGAGGTGATGGCTTGTTAAGCAGGTGGTCAAAGTGTTTGCTCCAAGCATCTGGCAAAAGACTTTCTCAATATTTTCCTCCATGGTTTCTCCTTGTTAGTCCAGCAGGAAAAAGAACCTTGTTTTCCTTTTTGTATGGGAATCACCATGGCTCAGCCGATGGCTTGTTAAGCAAGCGGTCGAAGTGTTCGCTCTAAGCGTCATGCAAAAGACTTCCTTACAATTTTAATCCATGGTTAGGCCAGCAGGATAAAGAACCTTGTTGTGTGGGAATCAACACGGCTCAGTGAGGCGATGGCTTGTTAAGTATGCGGTCAAAGTATTCGCTCTAAGCATTGGGCAAAAGACTTCCTTATGATTTTTCTCCATGCTTTCCCCTTTTTAGGCCAGCTAGAAAAAGAGTCTTGTTTTCCTTCTTGCGTGGGAATCACCATGGCTCAGTGAGGCGACAGCTTGTTAAGCATGAGGTCATAGTGTAATAAGTGTTCGCTCCAAGCATCGGGCAAAAGACTTCAAGATTTTTCGCCTTGTCAGGGCTGCAGGATAAAGTGCCTGGTGTTCGCTCCAGTGGTTTCCTGTTGTCAGTGGTGCAGTACGGAAGGCCTGGCAAGGGTCATGGGAAAGAGATGAAAAACCAAGGGCTCAGTGAGCATCGGGCAAAAGACTTCAAGATTTTTCGCCTTGTCAGGGCTGCAGGATAAAGTGCCTGGTGTTCGCTCCAGTGGTTTCCTGTTGTCAGTGGTGCAGTACGGAAGGCCTGGCAAGGGTCATGGGAAAGAGATGAAAAACCAAGGGCTCAGTGAGCATGGCATCTGGCTTACTAACCAGGAGGTTGAGGTGTTCAATCCCAGTGTTGACCAAGAAATTTCAGGATTTCCCAGAAGAGTTTCCCCTTGTCATAGGTGTATTAGAGAGGCTTTGGTAAGGAACAGTGCTGAGTCGATCGGAAGGGACGAAAACCCAAGGTCTCAGATTGGCACAGTGTGTAAGGCAGCTGGTTTGCCTAACAGGACGTGGGGATGTTCACTCCAGGTGTTGGCAAAGTAAGTTCCTTAAATTTTCCAGTGTGGTTTGACCTGGCCGGTGGTGCACGATGGAGGGCATGGTGTTCGCTCTAGGTGATGGCCAAGAAGTTCATAAGAATGTTTTCCACCACTTGTCAGTGGTGCAGGATGGAGGGCCTGGCAACGAACAGTGTCAAGTCGTTTGGATGGATCAAAGTAAATGAAATGGGATTTTAACTTCCTATATTTCTGCACCAACCATGTTGATGAAAATGTGCATGCTTCATGCAGTGTGCTATGAGGGAATTTTTGCCCACACAGCTGCGTTTCACCCCTACTGCCAAGGATTCTTTTACGTGCACGCCAACCTTAACATAGAACCTTATTTGTTTGTCCCAGGACTCAAGTCAGCTAAGTGGGTAAGTCGGTGGCTCACTAGCCTGGAGGTCGGGTGTTCGATCCCTGCATTCGATCCTTGTCAGTGTATATTAATGTTTTTCTTTTTTCCATATTTTTTATATATATCTTCATTTGTACTATGGCTGTCATTCTTTGCTTGATAAAGACGGGAGACATTCGTTAAAAACGTCGCTGAAATAAATCCTTTAAGTAACTTTTGCCATATAATTGTGTCATGTGTTAGCTGTCTAGTCGTTTGGATGGGACAGAAAACTGAGGTCCCGTGTATTGGCATGCACGTAAAAGATCCCTTGGCAGTTGGAATTTGATATAAGAGTAGGCCGTAGTGCCACTGCCCGAGCAAAATTTCCCTCATAGCAGAACAGTAGGACGTTAAACCCCGTTTAATTTCAGTGGGGTTGAATGGCTGAATGGTTAGTACGTGCACGCTGTATCATAAAGTCTGTCATTGAGTCAACTGGCGTGGTTTCGATTCCCTGGATGTACGTGACAAGGAGTAGGATCGCCTGTCCAACTTGTGCATCTTCTCTGGGTCCTCCGGTTTCCTCCCACTGCTAAAGACCCCTACGCACAAGCGAATTATGGAAATAAAATTGAACCATGTCAGTCCCGAAATAACCTAGTTTGTGTAGAGTGGACGTTAAACCCCATTTCTCTCTCTCATTTCATTTCATTTGTTTGTCCCATCTGAATGACTAGAAGCGTTTCCTTGCAATGCCATCCTTCCTGCACCATGTGGATAAATCCTGGGCAACTTTACAGGATAATATTTTGGATGCAAGTGTTGATGGTCTCTAAATGACCTGAGGTCCCAGTAGTCAAACTGTAAGAATCCTGGTATAGTCTGAGAAGAAGCATGGTTAGTCATTCGGATGGGACGAAAAAACGAAATTTTGCGACTGTCCCTTAGCGACTGTATTCTGATTTCAATAATTTGCTTACGTAAAAGGCTCCTTAAATCTCGAAAGAAACAATAGAACCTTTTCGACCCTACTCTTTGTCACTTCAAATCATGGGACACCTATCATGATTTGCTCAGATGTCATGCAGAAAATGCTGATGCTTCAGTTCTGAGTTCACAGACCATTTGGTTACCATTTCTATCCCATCCATTATCAAAAAACAAAAAAGATAACAAAGGAATAAATTTACTAAAAAATAACAAATTATTCTAATTAACAAATTTGAAAAATGTTAACTATGAGAATTGAACTCCATTATCTGAAATTGTAAAAGTCTTGGTAAGTTTTGATTGTTTGCAATGTAAACTGAGTTTTGATTGGTTCTGAGATACTTCCTTTATCATTATAAATCTTTTCTGTATAAAATTGTGCCATGTGTTGCCAAGGAATTCAGCATATTGATACATATCTTCGCTTTTACTGGACTTGTCACCCATGTCGAATGAGTTTTCTACCCTTGAGAGATCTTTAGTTTTCTTTTTAACAAGTGCTGCCTTGGTTATGAATAAAACTAGATTGTAATCAGTAACTAATTTGTTTAAAATATATTTGATCTGATTAACATAATAATCAAGCATATTGCTAGCCTTGTCTATCCAGTAAAATGTAGATATACTGTCCAACATGATCAGTCCAATTTCTGGACATTCACAGACTTGATTTTCCAGACTGTGTAAGGTACATATTAACTGATGACTAGATGAACATCGAACCAATTTAACATTCTGTAAACAATTTTTAACAAAGGAATCTATGTCTTCCTCAGTGGCTTTTTTAAAATCTTGTTTTTTATCTGTTGCCATGGTAACACCATTCACTATGACTCGAATACGGTTGTTTAAAATTTTGGCAAGTCTGAGTACGCTAAATTTATAATCTGTGTCAATGTAAATTATTTTGCCACCAAATCCTCCAATTTCAAAATGATTCCAATTTTGGGGTAAAATCACTTTCGTCACGAAATGAAGAAACAGCTCTGTCTTGCCAACACCCTCTTCCCCATAGAATTCAAACACATCACCACCCTTAGGTCCATCTTTATTGAAGAGGTCTTCCTCCAAACCTTGTAATGTTGGTCTGCCCCCAAGTCTTGCTAATAACTGAAAACAGAAAACAGTTTAGTAGTCTGGTGAAACATGCATGTCCAGCCTAGAAAACAAAATGGAGTTTAACATCCTACATTTCTGCATCAACTGGGGGGGTTGGATGGCCGAATGTTTAGCACGCGCGCGCTGTATCATACGGTCTGTCATTGAGTCAACTGGCGGGGTTTCGATTCCCCAGGTCCTCATGGGTTTTCTCCGGGTCCTCCGGTTTCCTCCCACTGTTAAAGACCCCTACGCGCAAGCGAATTATTGAAAAAAAAAATTAAAAACCATATGTTAGTCCCAAGGTAGCCTGGTTTGTGTTGAGTGGACGTTAAACCCCATTTCTCTCTCTCTCCCTTTCTGCATGAACTGGGTTAATGAAGACAGTCATACGCATGACATGAGTTGTTTTTTCCCGGCTTTCTGGTTTCTTCTCACTTCTTGAGAGGACCCCTATACGAAAGCAAATTATTGAGATACAATTGCACAATGTTAGTCCCAAAATGACCTATCGTGATTTTCCAGCATGGTTTCCCCTTGTCAGTGGTGCAGGACAGATTATCTGATAAGGACACAGAGAGAAATGTGGTTTAACGTCCACTCGACACAAACTAGGTTATTTCGGGACTAACATATGGTTCAATTTTATTTCCATAATTCGCATGCGCGTAGGGGTCTTTAGTAGTGGGAGGAAACCGGAGGACCTGGAGAAAACCCACGAGGTTGGACAGGCGACCCTACTCCTTGTCACGTACAACCGGGGAATCGAAACCACGCCAGTTGACTCAATGACAGTCCTTATGATACAGCGCATTCGCGCTAACCATTCGGCCATCCACCCCCCCTGATAAGGACAGCTGTCTATTCATTCGGAGGGGATGAAAAACTGAGGTCGCATTTACACATTGGCGTGCACCTAAAAGATCCCTTGGCAGTTGGAATTTGATATAAGAGTAAGCCTTAGCGTCGCTGTCTGGGCAAAATTTCCCTCATAGCACATTGTATGGCGTATGCCCGTCTTCATTAGCCCAGTCGGAGCAGAACAGTGGGATGTTAAACCCCATTTCATTTCTTTTTATAAAGTATATCAAGCCTATCACTCTGCCTAACCCGAGTATAAAATGCTCATGAACAAACACAATAATTCGTCGGTGAAGTGTCAAAGGGGTGTATCTCGGGAAATTAGTCAAATACACTTTTTTGCATTTTTAAACTCTCCCAATTAATATGCACATTTCTATCTAACCTGTGTATCTCTACGCCAATTAGAACTGTTCTGGGTATCATGTGTCCAAATGTTGTATCTTGATTTGTGGAAATTTTGAAATGCAAAAAGTTCTATTTCTTAATGTTTAGAAATTCTTAGATACACCCTTTTGACACTTCACTGACTAATTGGGTATTTAGCAATGATGTTAGTACATCTTTTCAATCCAACTGAATTATCTACCATTGTTATCTTGATTTCGTTTTCATAATAAAATTATACATAATCACTTGGAGTACATTTTAGCTTCTATCAAAGATACATTATGTAGGATTTAGATAAACAGCTGACCATTCTTGCTATAATAGTTCAAAAATAGATAATGTAAAATGAAAATGTCATTCAAATTACTTCATTCTGAGCCAAGTTATCACTGTTTGTAGTTTTGACAAGATGTGTGCATTGTGGTAACCAGGGCACTGGTATATTCGAGACTTAGCTTCGCTTTCCTATTTTTAAATTAAATTTTTAATTGGCGAACTGTTTTAATCTAGTTAAAATCTTGAGAGCTGATTATGGTCTTGTTTTCCTGATAACTGTCTAATTCTTAGCTTATATAACATTTCGGGCCTAAAGAAAGACCTGCAAGGCAGATTTAGCTCTTGCATAATATATGTTTAAGCTATGGAAAATTAGATATATTTTAATTATAGGTTGTTTTATTTTAATTCATTGGGATCCAAATTCTCCAGCCTCGTAGCCTATTGGAAGCAAGATAATTATAGGCTCACTGGCGTCACTGCTTATAAATGATAATAGAGCCTATTATTATATGAACCAAAAGAGCAGAGAACTAATGCCATAATTATACCCAGAATTTATCTATTCACCGATCCTGTTTAAAACTATTTATTGGTGTAAATGATAGCTGCAATTGGGTTAGTGGGTTAGTATGTTATTCTATAGCAGGTATGACGTTTATTTTGACTGATCATAGCAGAAAACGAATATAATAAAAACGAAAGTAGAGCAAAATCGGAAAATGCACCTGAGCGCCTGTTTCAGACTTCGACATCGTATCCCAGTAAATATTCTCAATCAATATGAACAGCTACGGATAGATTCATCGCATATTTCGTCAAAATATACCATACAATTTAGTTCATGGTGTCAAAAGGGCGTATTTAATAACAACTTGCACCTAACTGACATCACATTCCAGACAGTAATAGCACGTCTGCGCATGAATAGAAGAAGGTTGCGTCAATAGAACACTTCCGGTTACATTACGTTGTTTTCATCAAAGGATCCTTACGTATTGTTTTGTAGAATTTCTGCAAATAATGGAAGTTGCAGGGACCTGTTTGTCTGCTGAATTATAAACTGATCATTTGTCACCAAAGTGCAACACTGAGCAGAATAATTTATGTCCGTTATGGCTCAATAATTTGCATTATATTTGCACGTGCATGTTACACTGTGACTGAGTGACAGCCTCAGACAGGTAACTCACTAGGCCTACAGAGAACTGTGAATCCGCACACTGGACGTATTCCGAGTATTGACGATGGCAGGACGAGCACAGCAGCCTCGCCGGAGAAAGAGACCACATGCACCCGTTTATGGTGGAATTTGTGGGACCTATGAAGATAAAGACAACGACTATGTCTGGTAAATATTTGATTACGGTACAGTAATAATTGAATAAGTCAGCAAGTGCAGTCAAAGTCATAATGTTCAGTCAGTCATAATATTAATACATCAAATATTATCTGGATGCCAGCAGAATGATGCGGGTCAGTTCATCCCACGACGGTTTCACCTTCTTTTTTATCAGGCTGTTTCATCCCGCCTTGTTATTAAAAATAGTTATTTAACTGAGTTGTACTTAGTGTTAAATAAATAGATAGATCTCAATGACCATTGAGAATACCGCTCAGGTTATTCAATGGTTCAAGAGAATGTAACACTGTGCAAGTATTCCACTGCCTCCATGAGCGATAGCGAGTGGAATGCGGCAGGGATGCACTTGAGTGAACCATTGAATACCCCTATTCATCATTAAGTTCTGTTTTTATTCTATAACTACATGCAAATCTCAAAATACACTGTTCTATCCAGATTATCAAAAAAGAATCATCACCAATATAAATGTTAGAATTCATCATAGGTTCCGCTTTTTTTTCTTTCTTTTTTACAAAAATTGGGGTTGCCCAGTGGTGACGTCATTACAGTTTGGCGTAAAGTGAAGTCATTCTGGACAAAAGTAGTACCTGTCCAAGCCATTGAATACAACCATACATGTAGATTATTCAATGGCTGTATTCACTTATTGTTAAATAAATACATGTAATAGGAAACCAGATAAAGTAACAAATAAATTAATTACTTTGATCTAAAGCATTATCTAGCTGTAAATATGATCCGAAATTGAAAGATTATCATTCATCTTTTGGATTTACACCGTGAGTAGTCGTAACTTTCCATCAAGAACCAATTTTAATCCTTCTACTCATATTCTAATTCTGGTCTATGATTCTGTGAATAGAATGACTAAAATGACGTAACGGATTGTTTATTAACGAAAAGTTACGACTACCCACAGAGAACGGCAGAAATTATTAACGTTAAAATATACCTGTTGCAGGTAATATTGACATTTGGGTTCGTGTTATACTTATGGAAAGGATATGTTGACATAATTACTTGCATTATTAAAAAAAAATTTGAAGCTTAATTTCCGGTGACCTTTAAGGTATGGTATCACCAAAAAAGGTGCCTTCAGCATTCAATCATTATTGCATATTTAATAAATTTTACACTTCATGAACCATTGAAATGAAACTGAGTAATTGCTCTCAGGACTGAAATTAGATTTGGTAGAGCTTTTTATAGCTCTTCTTAGCCCTGTCCATTTGCTATCCTCATCTTCTCAATAACCCAGTCTGCAGGGTACATGTATCCGATTTCAACGAGATCTCGTGCGCGCAATGAAAATGCTTAATTTTCCAGCATGCAACATTAAACTTCAAGTGTGAAGGAAATAAATCCATATGTGATAAAATAGTCTATTTTTGCCTGGCATGTAATTTCAAAAAAGTTCCACTGAAATTCAAATTTGTAGCAACAACTGCACAGTACATAAACATGAGCCATACACGACAGCTCAATGGGGTCAATATTAACCCATTCACTGAGTCACTACTTACAGTTATGGTAGTTTTCTCCATTGAAAAAGGCTGAGTATTATCACTATAATTGTGGATCAACAATAGATTACTAAAGACATGACAATGTGTACAGATTAAAATGTGCCACCCGATTTCTGAAAAAAAATAAACTGAATAATCCCCACATCCAACGTGTGACGCATACTCTCTTTTGACACATATTTTGATAGCTTCAGATCGTCTAGTATTGTCACTGGTTATATTTGTTTCTTATTCTCTTCTTAGGACTCATGTTGTGTAATACGTGTATATATTTTTATCTTAACATTTGTCTACCAGGAATAACAATGCATCAATTCGTTTCCATAGTTGTATGTCAAGCACTGGATACATACTGTAGGTTATAAGCTTAGGTTACATTACAATACTTAAGATTAGCATGTCTTTTCTCTCCACCCCCGGGGGGTTGGATGGCCGAATGGTTAGCGCGGGTGCGCTGTATCATAAGGTCTGTCATTGAGTCAACTGCCATGGTTTCGATTCCCTGGTTTTACGTGACAAGGAGTAGGGTTGCCTGTCCAGCCTCGTGGGTTTTCTACTGGTCCTCCGGTTTCCTCCCACTGCTAAAGACCCCTACATGCAAGCAAATGATTGAAATAAAATTGAACCATGCCTTAGTCCCGAAATGACCTAGTTTGTGTCGAGTGGACGTTAAACCCCATTTTTCTCTCTCTCTCCCTAATATGCAGATTGAGTTTACTGACGGAATGCCTACATCATATGGCTCTCTCTCCTACAAATCAACAGGGTCTACTCAATCCAGCTTGTGTCTGTTGAACCTCGGCGGTCTCTCTCAAATTTAGTGGATGTCTGTCGATTGACCAGAGCTTCCATGGTTTTCTACCCTTGGGTTTTGGCTTTCAATTGTCTAATTGTTCAAATATGACGTAATTAATTATAATTATTAGTTACTTCAGCCAAATAATGCAATGGTAATTTCCTACCATAAGTAATCTGGTGATATTTTGTTTTCACACAGAACCAAGTACATGTATGTTTTGGGTTTATAAATCTTTTATGTGTCAACCAGATCTTGAGTGCATGATATATGACTTCTTTAATATGATGCTAAATTATTAAGTTGAAGAGCAAAAATTCTATTAATCTTTTTCTTCTCTGATTGGCATTTAGTAATTGAACATATTAACACAAGGTACAATTTTATGGATACACAATTAATCTTATTACAGCATGCACTGGACATACTCTGCAGACTGGTCAATAACCACACCTGATAAGAATTGACCACATTACACGTAGCCTAAAATTCAACAAACTTTGTCATAAAAACATAGTAGACTGCAGGGTTTTTAGTTAATCCCTTTTATCAAAGGTATGGGTTGATGAGATACAGCAGAAAACGTGGAACTCCCAAGAAAATTTCCTTAAAATAAACTCTCCTGTCTGCAAAACTACGTTATGGTGAGCGTATTAAGTACTGCTTTTATGACTGGAGCATTGATTTTTCATATAAATTATTGGTTAATAAGAGTTAATTTTTGTTCTTTCAGCCCAATTTGTTTTAATATAATTGATGAAGCTCACATGACTAAATGCGGACATTCATTTTGGTAAGTTTATTTTTAGTTGATATTTTCTCCAAAGAGTCAGGTCAGGAAACATTCATATTACCTGTTCATGTAAAATATGTCAGGCAGTAATGATATGAAACTTTGTGCAGGAAATGTATAATAGTAATATATTGATATTGCACAGGTGTGTTTAGCACAGGGCAATATCAATATATTACACCATGTCTTGCACAAGACCATTAAACAACTTAAGATATAGACACTATCCAGAATGTTCATTTCAATTTCATACGTCAAACGCGTCAATGTTGCAAATAACTAGTATAAATAATGTACGCTTGGCAAGTTGCCCGTACAACATCAAAGGATGACTTCCATCTGTATTTTAAATATCATTAAAAACTCCAAACAAAAAAAAGACATTTCAACCCTGGTTAAAATGACAGGTGTTAACTTTTTGTGACAATGCGAATGACATTGACAGGTGCTTTATTTTTTAGCCTTGCAATGATATATGTTTCCTGGAACAATATTTTCGACTTTGGTTGTAACATTTATTTTTCACTATTGACACAGGTAGAATATAAAAGTAATACGTTATTCGACACAAACACGTAGGTGTAGTATAGTGTAAAAATATTGATTGTTTGGGTATATTAGTCATAAATATGAATCTGATATGATGCTGATTATGACTCATCACTGACTTAATGTATAACATGACACTTATTTTTAGAAAAAATAGGACAATTGTATTACTGGAAATCAGTTTTAGTACCATTGTATTACATATACAACGGCACTAAAAATGATTTCCAATTTCTTCTTTTAGCAATCCTTAACACAAAGGGGTCACAGTGGCTAAGTGGGTAAGACGCTTGCTCACTAGCCTGGAGGTCAAGCGACGTCAATTAGGCAGCTTTGTCATTGAGTGACGCTGTGAGCTATAAATAGACCTACAAAGCTTATTGATCCTACAGAGAATGAAATGAAATGGGGTTTAACGTTCTACTGTTCTGCTCCTATACTGGGCTAATGAAGACGGGCATACGCCATACAGTGTGCTTTGAGGGAAATTTTGCCCGGGCAGCGGCACTATCGCCTACTCTTATATCGAATTCCAACTGCCAGGGGATCTTTTACGTGCATTCCAATATATACATGGGACCTCGGTTTTTCATGTTATCCGAAGGACTAGACAGCTGTCCTTGTCAGGCCCTCCGTCCTGCATAACTGACAAGGGGATGAACTTTGCCATGTGATCCCCGCCCTACAGAGAGTAACGCCTGGTTAAGCAATTTTGATTTTTTATTTCATATTTCATTTTCTATCTTAAAATGTTAGCGGGGTTGATTGGCCGAATGGTGTAACATGTGTGCTTTAGATCATAAGGTCCATCATTAGGTCAAGTGGCGTGATTTTTAGTAGGGTCGTCTGTCCAACCTCATGAATTTTCTCCACATTCACTGGTTTCTTCCCACCCCACAAGGAATCATATTATTGAAATAAAATTTAACCATATGTTAGTCCCGAAATGCGAAATGACCTTGATTTTGTCCAGTGAGCATTAAACCTCTGTAACCATGTTTCAGACCTTATTTATTGAGGTTTTAAAAGGAAATATTAAACAACACTGAATTGAATTTTTTGTTTTTTTCAGCCACAAATGTATAAAACTGAGTCTTGAAAGAAGCAACAGATGTCCAAAATGTAATTGTGCCATAGAGAACAATGGACAAATATTTCCAAATTTTACTTGTAAGTCAAATTATCTTTGCAATAATTTTGATACACCCACGATTCATTTGAGAGTATTATTATTGCCTGTCCTCAATTCTATTAAGTAGTCCTTATTGAAATTCGTGCAATGTTTTTTTTCTCTCCAGAGTTACTGCCCCTGTCATTGAAACCTGGTAAGCGCTAAACAGATCAGATTTTTTGACATATTTTGTTTCAAGGAATCCTACTGAAATTCAGGCCAGTGCTTTAAGTCATTGATACTGTCGTCAAAACTTTGTAAACACTCTTCCACCACTTGATATGATTGTTTGTCCTAGTCAAAGTAAAGACTTGCCCATCAATTTTATGAAGAGTTACTTCCCCTGATAATGAAAACTTTGCTGTCTGACTGTACATGTATGGCTATTAGTAAAGAGTAACTGATATCGATTAACAATGCAATAATCTCAATACATCACTTTTAAATTCACAAACTTCACCCATAGTAATGTATATATATATATTTGTTAACGACTACTGTATAATCACTAGCCAAGCTCTACTGACAGTGATGTATATGACTAGTAGTGATAATTTTTGTCTGCGATATCACCTCGGTGGAAGCGGACGTAAAATACAACTAACTAACAACATTAAATGTGGTGATTTTCACACCTTTGTGACTTAACACCTACTACTGGCCAGGATCTACTGACAGTGATGTATATTATTAGTAGTGGTAATTAACAGCAGTGATTTTCACACCTTTGTGACTTAACACCTACTACTGGCCAGGATCTACTGACTACTGACAGTGATGTATAATACTAGTGTTGGTTTTAACACCCTTGTGATTTAATTAATACTGTATTATTACTTATCACATAATAATAGGAGCTGTGGTGACTCATATTTTAAAAAGAGATCAGTGCTTTGCTTATTTTAAATTTACATATTTTAGGTTTTCCCCCAATTAGATAGACCTATTAGGATAGATCTATTAGTATGTTATTTACACTTGTACAAAATGTTTTGCTCTAATTAGGCTCGGATTTTGAATAATTGAGTGAATCTAGTGTTATTTTGGATTTGATAAAAACAAATTTAAAATTATTTTATTGCTGAATGTGATGATGCCTCTTATATCAGGGTTGATCATTGATGAGTAAAATGGATTGAATAGTAAGAAACATTAAATTTAATGTATTAATTAGACATTTATTAACAAAACAAGATCATAATCAACTCTCAATGGCATCGGATACTCAGGATTTTAACTAAATTAGAACGGTTTGCCATTTAAAAATTTAATTTAAAAATGGGGAAGCAGGGCTAAGTCTTGAATATACCAGTGCCCTGGTTACCACTGCACACACATCTTGTCAAAACTACAAACAGTGATAAATTGGCTCAAAGTGAAGTAATTTGAATGAAATTTTCATTTTATATTATCTATTTTTGAGCTATTATAGCAAGAATGGTCAGCTCTTTATCTAAATCTTACATAATGTATGTTTAATTAAACAAACTGGCATTATAGTTGGACCACTGTACTATGGTTGATGCTTCCCTCAATAATGTCTTCAAGACCCTTCCATACAGATCTTCATTTAGTGTAGGCCATCGAAAGTAAGAAAAAAACCAAAATGAAATATAGATCTGTATTGTTTTAAATATGTATATTTTGTTTGAATTGATTAATTAGAAATCAATATATTTATTTTGTTTTCAGTAAATGAATTAATATTGAAGTTTAAAGGGAAATTATCAGAGAAGAAAATCAAAACAGAACAAGGGGTAGGTTTGAATTAGATCGATATATAGATAATTATATTCAAAATACTGGGAGATATAGCCAAGCCTAGGCATAAGGCACCTGTCACAGAAAATGTGGGATCCTAATATCCAATATTTAAGACACAGTGAACGTTTTAAAATATGGTTCATGAGTTGTTTCGGGCGCAAAACCAATGAAAAAAGAAAAACATATCCTAAATTACAATGTGGCAATAATGATTGATTAGAAATTACAATTTAAAAAAAAAAAAAAGAAATATAAATAACTTCATATACACTTATATTACATTAATATGTGCTTTTAGACCCATTTATGATTCCAAAAAATAGAGCCATATGCCCTTTAATGATACAAATAAAAACACATAGAAAAGACATAGCAGCTACCATACAAGAGATTGTATACAAATAAAACACAAAAAAAAGCCAAGTCGTTGCTGGACGAAATGACATATACCAGAGAGAGATTGTGACTGAGATTCGTAGAATATAACAAGCCCAACATCTTCCTATTTGTAGAATATAACTAGTCTAATGTTTTCTCAGAACTATACCATAAATCAGCATTCTAACTGAAGAACCTTTATTCATATCACCATGGGGTAAAAACTGACACTATTCATATAATATAACTAGTCTTAACGTTTCCTCAGAACTATACCATAAATCAGCATTCTAACTGAAGAACCTTTATTCATATCACCATGGGGTAAAAACTGACACTATTCATATAATATAACTAGTCTTAACGTTTCCTCAGAACTATACCATAAATCAGCATTCTAACTGAAGAACCTTTATTCATATCACCATGGGGTAAAAACTGACACTATTCATATAATATAACTAGTCTTAACGTTTCCTCAGAACTATACCATAAATCAGCATTCTAACTGAAGAACCTTTCTTCATATCACCATGGGGTAAAAACTGACACTATTCATATAATATAACTAGTCTTAACGTTTCCTCAGAACTATACCATAAATCAGCATTCTAACTGAAGAACCTTTCTTCATATCACCATGGGGTAAAAACTGACACTATTCATATAATATAACTAGTCTTAACGTTTCCTCAGAACTATACCATAAATCAGCATTCTAACTGAAGAACCTTTATTCATATCACCATGGGGTAAAAACTGACACTATTCATATAATATAACTAGTCTTAACGTTTCCTCAGAACTATACCATAAATCAGCATTCTAACTGAAGAACCTTTCTTCATATCACCATGGGGTAAAAACTGACACTATTCATATAATATAACTAGTCTTAACGTTTCCTCAGAACTATACCATAAATCAGCATTCTAACTGAAGAACCTTTATTCATATCACCATGGGGTAAAAACTGACACTATTCATATAATATAACTAGTCTTAACGTTTCCTCAGAACTATACCATAAATCAGCATTCTAACTGAAGAACCTTTCTTCATGTCACCATGGGGTAAAAACTGACCCAAGTTTATAAAATTAGTTTGTGATTAACAGTGTGTTTTAATATGTTTATATTTTTTCTAAATGAGCAGTTTGTGAATCATATACGTACATGTATCCATGAAATGTAAATTTTATGTTGCAGACACCACCATCATCTAGTTTATTAGATATACAAGAATTAGTATCAGAAGATAATCTAGATCTATCAAACGTCAATAATCTATTAGAAATGTTACTACAGAAAAAACAACAATTAGAAGCAGTAAGTAATTGTATCATAAATATGACATTAACAGTTTCCTAATGGTGGAGGGGGTTGTATGGACGATTGGTTAGCACTTGAGTGCTGTATCATAAGGTCTGTCATTGAGTCAACTGCCGTGGTTTTGATTGCCCGGTTGTACGTGACAAGGAGTAGGATCGCCTGTCCAACCTCATGGGTTTTCTCTGGGTCCTGTTTCCTCCCACTGCTAAAGACCCCTACGCACAAGCGAATTATTGAAATAAAATTGAACCATATGTTAGTCCTGAAATGACCTAGTTTGTGTCGAGTGGAGTTAAACTCTCTCTCTCTCTCCCCCTCCCCCCCCCCCCAATGGTGGAATGTTTATTATATTAAAAGTAGAGGATCGAAGAAAGACTAGCTTTTTATCTTATTTCATCATGTAGAGGATAGAAGAAAGGTTTTAGCTTTTTATCTATTTTCGTCCATTATTTTTGTAGGATGGTAAATTAGCAGAAACATTTATATTGAAAGAATTTCTACAACAAGTTAAACAACGAAAACAAGAGGTAAATTTCTTAATGATATCTAATGTTTCAATAGTAAGACAATACCCCATGCACCTTTATGTTGACGTGGCAAGGAACAGCGTTGATTTGTGCAACCTATGTACACCTAGGCATGTACACGAAAACAACAGTAGAAATATTGCTTTAAGATCATTGGTATGTATATGAATTCAACATTTTATCTTGGGTATTTTCAAACATAAAAAAATCAGATTTTTTACTCAAACCTAGCAAAGAACTTAACCTGTTATTGAAAGAACTCTTCATAAAGGCCCAATATGACTGAAAGAATTCTTGTTTTATTTCTGTTTTCAGCAATTAGAACAACTAAATCGACAGATCAGTGTATTAGAAACAGATATACAAAAAGTTGACGTAAGTTTGCTGTGTTATATAATGATAGTGGGGGTTGGGTTGTCTAATGCTGCTGTCTCGATCATGATACGGTCTCCCATTGAATTAAGTGGCATGGTTTCCATCTCACACTTTTACGTGAAAGGAGTAGGTTTGCCTACTTAATCTGATGGTATTTCCTTCCTCTGCTAACCACCTCTACGAGCAAGCGAATTATTGAAATAAAATTGTACCATATGTTATTCCTGAAATGACCTTGTTTGAGTTGAGTGGACGCAGAAATCTGGTGTATATTGACTATATATTTCAATCTTTGAGTCGTGTTAAACCAATATGTCTAAAATAACTCGTATTAAAACAGATATGTGTCAACTATTATGATTTGCACCTCCCGATGCAATACAGTGTGGTGCGGAAAGGTGAATCATGATACGTCGATTCAAAAATATATCGACTGAACACTAGTTTCAAACCATACACCAATTCAATAATATATCGACTGAATACTAGTTTCAAACGATACATCAATTCAACAATAATATCGACTGAAGACTGGTTTCAAGCATAGATCAACTTATTTTATACTAACTTGAATTCTGTTTTGTTATTTGTAGGATTTGATACATGAATATAACAGTAAATACAATCACTGTCCAGTAAGTACGAAATATTCTCGTCTTGGATTAGATGAAAACATATTGACCAGGAACTGGGCCCCAAGACCTGCTCAACTGTTGTTCTTCTTTTTAAGAACGATGCTCTTTCAAAAAAAGCAGAGGGCCTGACAAGAACGGCTGTCTAGTCATTCGGATGGAACGAAAAACCAAGGACCTGTGTACACATTGGCACGCACGTAAAAGATGCCTCTCAGTTGGAATTCGATATAAGAGTAGGCCATAGCGACGCTGACGGGCAAAATTTCCCTTATCATAGCACACTGCATGACGTACATGTATGCCCATCTTCATTAGCCCAGTTGGAGTAGGATGTTAAACCCCATTTCATTTCATCTTTTTAAAAAGCCTGAGGCTCCACCAGTTCAAGTACAGTCGAAATTAAACTTGACATACTTGTTCCTTGGGCAATATTAAAACAATGAACCTACAACTATGATAGAAAAAGTCAATCTACTTTTAACTGAATTATTACTTACAGTTAATCAACTTGGCAACTAATCTTTAACGGTCATACCTTTGTGAGAATTGGCCATGTTGCAAATGCAGACTCACGCCGTCGACGATCCAAGTAATTATTCTTGGTTGGTATTAGAAAACTTGTGTTTACTCAGCATTATCTCTTACTTTGGTTATATTTTCTAGGATCATCTAGTACCAAGTGGTTTTGATGCAGCCAGGGCGTTTGCTGAAGCCACTAGTCAAGATGGTTTTAACGGAAGTAAAAATGTAAGTTTTTAAAGTAGCAATATTTTATAAAAACAAACAATTCCAGTGTTTGCTTGGAGTTAAAACATGCTAGTTTATGTTCATCTGGATTCTTACAGACTTCAATATTTTTCAAATACAATGTTGGAAAACTCATGTTCTTAAACTAGCAAAATTTCGTTTAACTTGTCTTTACTACACTAGGATCTGGAAGAGTTGTTATCATTGATGTGTTCTGGATGGTGTGAGGTATTAGCCAATGAAACGGTCTGTTACGGCGAGCTTTAGGCATGTTTTGCACGGAACTGTGGGTAATCGACTAGTAACATCAATGCTGATTGTTTAATCAAATGTCTGACATCATAGGTCAAAAGCCACTTGTATGACCTCTCATGCGACCATTCGCTACAACCGGTCAGATCTTCATGTAGTGTAGGCCATCGAAAGTATAAAAAAACGAAACGAAATATAGATCTGTATTATAATCAGATTGGGACTGCATCTAGATATTCACAAAATGAGGCTCATCAATACATTTCTTGAAGAATTATATACATACTGAGCTTGGTTTGTTTATAACAATTTGATAGTTGTGTGGATCGGACGAAAAACCGAGGTCCAATGTACACATTAGTAAGCACGTAAATGATCCCTCGGCAGTTGGAATTCAATATAAGAGTAGGCTGTACTGCCGCTTTCCGGGGAAAATTTTCCTCATAGCACACTGTATGCCCATCTTCATTAGCCCAGTCGGAGCAGAACAGTAGATTGTTAAATTTCATTTCAAATTGTTTCATTTCATTTTGTAACAATTTGATCTTTTTCTTCAGGTTGGTAAACCACTATTACAGAATTCAATGGCAGCTAGAAGAAAGAAAATTAGTCAACATTTTGAAGACTTAGAACAATGTTATTTTTCTGTACGGGTCAAAGGTGTAAATGGCGGTGAGTGAAATCCACCTTGGATCAGGGCTCTCATTTCAATTATATTTTTCAGTTTTGACTGAAGAATTAACCGGTCTGTCAATATAAATACCATAAAATTAGAATTTCAAAGAACTAAATCATAAGGATGCATTATGTAAGAGCTAAATCAGCATATTGCATGCCTCTTTTTTAGCTTCATATATTATGTAAACTATTATTTAGATCTTTATTTACATGACAAGCCTAGGAACAACTCATAGATTATAGGATGGCCAAGATCTAAATGAATTTGAACACTCGCAAGATTTAAAAATTTAAAGATGAAATGAACAATTGAGGATTATTCTCGATTGTCAAGTACCAATCTAAGCTACATCTTTAAACAGTCATAATTTCACCCAAAATAAAGTAATCTGAAGGAAATTTTCAATATATTAATTTTTCATTATCTATTTTTTAACATTTATAACAAGAATGGCCAGCCCTTTATCTAAATCTTACATAATGCATCATTAATCTTAAAACTTAAGAAATATAGTTAAGTTTATATTTCTGAGGTGTAAATAATTTATATATTTGTTTATTTTCAGTTGATAACGATTCTAAAGAAGGTTTAGAAGAATTTACAAATAGTTTATCCAAGTTTTCCCGCTTTACCTCATGTCGACCATTAGCTACTTTAAGCTATGCTGTAGATTTATTAAGTGGTGGATCAAGTATTGTTTCTAGGTCAGTTTCTTTGTAAACACTTCATGGTCTTTCATTTTATCCCCCCCCCCCTACACTGCTGTACTAAGCTATTATTTTTTTGTCTTAATTATAACTTTGCCTACAGTATTCTGGCCAATCAGGTAGTTCATTGTTGGCCATATGATATGCCGTTCATGACTGAGGGCTATGAAAACCCAATTTTCTACATGGCAATGATCAACCTCCGCCATGTTAATATAAAATTCAGTGGCCTGTACAGAATAATGCACACATATAGAAGCCACTTAATCTCATGATTGGTGTTATGAGTTGTATACATAATTGTCAACAGAAGATAATTTATGATGAATGTCTTATAGCAGAACAATAATTGTCAGGTGGGAATCTTATCAATGGCGAGAAGCGGTCTCCATTGTTAGTCGTCGCCTGTCCAACCTCGTGGGTCTTCTCCGATTCCTCCGGTTTCCTCCAACTGCTAAAGACCCCCTACGTGCAAGCCTGTTATTGAAATAAAATTCAAACATATGTTAGTCCCGAAATGACCTAGTTTGTGTCAAGTGGATGTTAAACCCCATTTCTCTCTCTTTCTCCATTGTTAGTCATTTTCTGCTGTGTTTAAGAATTTTCTAGAACAAAGCCATATACTAGCCAATCTGATAGTTCATTTTACTTTTTGTTGTTTTTTTCAGTATCAGATAGAGACTGTGATTATTTTATTTTCCATTGTTTTTCAGTATTGAGTTTGATAGAGACTGTGATTATTTTATTTTCCATTGTTTTTCAGTATTGAGTTTGATAGAGACTGTGATTATTTTATTTTCCGTTGTTTTTCAGTATTGAGTTTGATAGAGACTGAGATTATTTTATTTTTCGTTGTTTTTCAGTATTGAGTTTGATAGAGACTGAGATTATTTCATTTTTCGTTGTTTTTCAGTATTGAGTTTGATAGAGACTGTGATCATTTTTTTTTCGTTGTTTTTCAGTATTGAGTTTGATAGAGACTGTGATTATTTTGCTATAGCTGGTGTAACGAAGAAGATAAAGGTATACGAATATAATATGGTGATAAAAGATGCTGTAGATATACATTATCCTACATTAGAGATGGTCTGTAATTCTAAAATAAGGTATAGTCTATTATAGTAATTAGCCAGTATATGATAAAGTTGGTTAGCATCTTTAGACCAATTTTTAACATTATTTCAGTTTCTAAATCAGTTTTTAAGTGTTTTTCACAACGAACCCTATTAATATGGTTAGATCTATTTGATATGGCCAGCTTCAAGTTTGGTCAAAGGCCAAGAGATGTATACAGGGCTAGCACTAACCCCAACCCTAACCCTGGACCTAAAATACAATCTCACCAAGAATCACATGCCCTAACCACATCTCAGCAACCTTAATGGAAATTGAGCTGGACTTAACAAATAGATTTAGCCCTATTAATACAATGGTTTTTAGGTTACAATTATATTGTTTGAAGTATCTGACCATATGTTAGTCTCAAAATGACCAAAGTTGAGTAAGATGCTGGCTCACTAACCAGGAGGCCCCAGTTCCATTCTGGTGTCGGCCGAAAAAGTTCCTCAGGATTGGTGTCATCCTTCTAAGAACGTGGAGATGGGGCAAAAAAAAAAGGGTTGTGTGTACACGCTCGCTCGTGAGCAAATAAAAGAATTTTAAGGGTTGGCAGAGATGCCACTGTCTGAGAAAAATTTCCACACTGTATAGGGTATGCCAGTCGTGATTAGCCCCCCTTGTTGCAGGATATTAGGATGTTAATCCATTTCGTTTTATTTCATACTTGATGATTGTGATTTATTTATATTATTATAGTTGTGTTACGTGGAGTGCTTATCATAAAAACATGTTAGCTAGCTCGGATTATGAAGGAACTGTTACGTTGTGGGATGCTTCAACGGGTCAAAAATCAAAAACATTTCAGGTGGGTTGATTTTTTATTTATAGTTATTATTGTACATTTTTATAGTGCACAGTTAAGTACTCACCAGTGCTTTACAAAATATGGTACACAAAAAAAAAAATAGAAATAAGATGTGCATATGAACATTGAAATTAACTTATTATCTTATAAAATTCATTAGAGGGTTGGAGGGCCGAATGGTGAGCGAGTGGTTGTATGTGACAAGGAGTAGGGCCGCCTGTCCAACCTCATGGGTTTTCTCCGGGTCCTCCGGTTTCCTCCCACTGCTAAAGAATTATTGAAATAAAATTGAAACATATGTTAGTTCTGAAATGACCGAGTGGACCTTAAACCCCATCTCTCTCTCTCTCTCTCTCTCTCTCTCTCTCTCTCTCTCTCTCTCTCCCCCTCTCTCTACCTCTTTCTAAAATTCACTAATGCATACAAGAGCATTACTGATTGACAAGACATGATTTGAAAAATTTTGAAATGTTAATCTGTTTATTTTGTAGGAACATGAGAAGAGATGTTGGAGTGTAGATTTTAACAGAATGGATCCTAAACTCATAGCCTCAGGTTCTGATGATGCTAAAGGTTAGTTGATATTCATTTCTTTACCCCGTCTTTATTAGCCCAGTTTGGAGCAGAACAGTAGGAGTTAAACCCCATTTCATTTCATTTCTTTAGTGTCCCAGAAAAAAGATAATTTGGAAAAGGAAAAAAAATGTATAAATAATAATACTAAAATGTGGAATATTTTACTGTTTTCAGGAAACTCTGGTGTACAATTGTATGTTTTATTGAAACCCTAATTTTAATGTGAAATGTTTTAGTGAAATTCTGGTCTACAAATGTGAAATGTTTTATCATGTTTTAATGAAATTCTGGTCTACAAATGTGAAATGTTATATATTTTAGTGAAATTCTGGTCTACAAATGTAAAAATTCTTATTATATTTTAGTAAAATTCTGGTCTACAAATTTGAAATGTGATATTTTAGTGAAATTCTGGTCTACAAATGTGAAATGTTTTATCATATTTTAGTGAAGTTCTGGTCTACAAATGTGAAATGGTTGCTTTGTTTTAGTGATACTCTAGTCTAAAAATGTGACATATTTTATTTTGTTTTAGTGAAACTCTGGTCGACAAATGCTGATCATTCTATAGCAAGTCTAGAAGCTAAAGCAAATGTTTGTTGTGTTAAATTTAATCCTCAGAGTAGATATCATTTAGCGTATGGCTCAGCAGGTATGTAACTAGTTTTCATTCAGTATTATATTTTTTCTAATCTGCGGTGGCTCATTGAGTATGCCATTAGCTAACTCACAAGCCAGACAGAAGGTACCGGGTTTGATCCCAGCCAGGAGTATTTGGAAATGGTAAATATTATGTATTGTGTATTTCCAGTTCAATTACTAAATGCCGTTGTAATAAGTAATATGTAATATGTTGGGTTAAAAAGACAAGACTGAATTGTTTTTAATTTGTTATTTTATTTCTCCTGTTTATAAGAAGATTTGAAGATAAAAAAAGCAGTTTTGTGGGTGGATTGGGTCAGTCAGTTATGTAATTGTCACATATACTATGTACAAGGATTTTGCTATAAAAACAATAAATATGTTGGATAAAGTTTTTGTCCAAGCAAATGTTAAATAAAGTGATTTGATAATATTATGTCTTGTGTTTTATTTTTAGATCACTGTGTACATTACTATGATCTACGTAATACCAAACAAGCTGTAACTGTATTTAGAGGACATCGTAAAGCTGTATCATATGTTAAATTTCTAAACAGTACAGAAATAGTCTCAGCGTAAGTCACTTTCAAGAAATCTGGTCTGTAAATGTATCTTTTGAGATGAATATGGGATCCGTAGAGTATATTTGCTACCCCTTGGCATCAAGTGGGGTTGGATGGCCGAATGATTAGCGTGTGCGTGCTGTATCATAAGGTCAGCCATTGGGTCAACTGGTGTGGTTTTGATTCCCTGGTTGTACATGACAAGGAGTAGGGTCGCCTGTCCAACCTCGTGGGTTTTCACCGGGTCCTCCGGTTTCCTCCCACTGCTAAAGATCCCTACGCACAAGCGAAGCTAGCTTTTTATCTTATTTCATCATGTAGAAAGGCTTAGCTTTTTGTCTATTTTCGTCCATTATTTTATAAAGACCCCTACACGCAAGCGAATTACTGAAATAAAATTGAACCATATGTTGGTCTCGAAATGACCTAGTTTGTGTCCAGTGCACTTATTTTGTAAAGACCCCTACGTGCAAGCGAATTACTGAAATAAAATTGAACCATATGTTGTCCCGAAAAGACTTAGTTAGTGTCCAGTGGACTTTGTTTGTAAAGACCCCTCCGAGCAAGCGAATTACTGAAATAAAATTGAACCATATGTTAGTCCCGAAATGACCTAGTTTGCGTCCAGTGGACTTAAACCCTCTGTCTCTCTCTGTCTCTCTCTCTCTGGCTTGCTGTGTTGTGTGTACTGCTATCAGGTAAAAGTCATCATGCATTGACAACTAACATCGATACTCATATTCCTTGCCTCCAAACCTCTGATATAAATTAAGGACCTATCTTCATGATACTAGTGCCTACCTTTGTTATGTATTCGATAATATTTATCCCTTTTTGTAAAGAAAAATTAAGATTTTTTTTATTTTGTCAAAAACAGTGATTTTCAAGGGGATATAACTCTGAGTAATATAGGGCTACTTGGAACTGTTAAACTCCCACAGTATGTAATTCTTGAGTAGCATTTAGCGATTGAGCAAAATGAAAAATACAAAACAGGTTATATGGAAAACATTCACTGGTTGGTACACATATAGCACAGCGTTTCGACAAGTATTCTCTTAATCTTTGAGTGGCATTTAGCGATCGGGAAACACCTTTACAGAACACAGTTTTTATTGGAAATAATCACTAGTTTTATTCTAAAAGCATGACATTTTGACAAGTATCCTCTTATTGTTCCGAATATCCTCTTATCGTTCCACAGTATGGCAACAATGTTTGGATTACTCCACCCCAAATGACGAAAAGGGTTAACTTGACCTTTCTTGTGTTTGGATGACTGAGCCCCAAATGCAAAAGGGTTAACTTGAGTCTTTAAAGAAAAAGAAAAGTTTGGCGAATGTTATGTCCTGCTGTAGACAACAAGTTCAGTTTATTTCGAGAAAATCGATATTATATTTTATATTTCTATATATTGACAGGTCAACAGACAGTCAGTTAAAACTATGGGATCTAAATCGACCAAATTCTGTACGAACGTTTCAAGGTCATACTAATGAGAAGAATTTTGTGGGTTTATCAACAGATGGCGATTACGTGGCTTGTGGTAAGTTTTATTATTCCTAGAAACAAAAAAAAATATGCTAACCATTTGTAGTGGGAATACAAAAAAAATGAAATAGACATATACGGTTTAAAGATACATTGTCCCAAAAGTATTTATTGGGTGGTTATATCCAATACAAGTATGGCAAATTTGGTATATATGGAAAGTATAGACCTATAATCTTACTAGAAAAATAACAGATTACCTGAAAAACATCTATGGGGCAAGCACTGGGCAAAAATGTCAGGGTTTCCCTAACTGGCACCCGACTGTTGTCTGCCAGCTTATTGTGTGCTAGCTTGACTGAGGGAGCGGTTTTTATATCTTGATCAAAAGGTTAGACAGTTTTGGAAACATTTATGGGTGTCACCGTTCAAAAGACTCTGCAATTAAACAGTGGAAAAGGTAGAATTTACTTAGGCCTCAATATGTATAATAAATGGACAGTAAGTAATATAACAAAAAATACATTCTGAAAAATGGACCCTCCCTCAATGAATTGAGCTGACTGACATGGCGTCTAACAATAGTTTATTTATAGCTTTCGGTATCTCCTGATGAATACAAAGTCTTGAGAGGGATTTGAAGCAATTTTTTGATAGATGAATTATTTTGAATATGTTTTTAGTCCAAATATATCATCAAATCACACAGTTTGTATACGGGAAAGTATCGTTAAGGTTTATACTATTTATGTTTATATTTTATAGGTAGTGAGAATAATTCCCTGTATAATGTTTATATTTTATAGGTAGTGAGAATAATTCCCTGTATAATGTTTATATTTTATAGGTAGTGAGAATAATTCCCTGTATAATGTTTATATTTTATAGGTAGTGAGAATAATGCCCTGTATAATGTTTATATTTTATAGGTAGTGAGAATAATCACCTGTATAATGTTTATATTTTATAGGTAGTGAGAATAATTCCCTGTATAATGTTTATATTTTATAGGTAGTGAGAATAATCACCTGTATAATGTTTATATTTTATAGGTAGTAAGAATAATCACCTGTATAATGTTTATATTTTATAGGTAGTAAGAATAATCACCTGTATAATGTTTATATTTTATAGGTAGTGAGAATAATTCCCTATATATCTACTATAAGGGCTTAGCTAAACAACTGATGACATATAAGTTTGATACAGCTAGAAGTGTTCTCGTAAGTTAATTTATATAACATTTTAATTAATCTTATAGCACGACCATTAGCTTACAGAGCAAAGTACAATCTACTGATAATTAGTGTTATTATATAGCACAGCTATTATCTTCAGAGCAATGGATAGCATGTGCGCGCTGTATCATAAGGTTTGTCATTGGATCAACTGACGTGGTTTCGATTCCCCGGTTGTACGTGACAAGTAGTAGGGTTGCCTGTCCAACCTCGTGGGTTTTACGTCGGGTCCTCCGGTTTCCTCCCTCTGCTAAAGACCTCTATTCAAGACCTCTATTCGCAAGCGAATTATTGAAATATTATTAAACCATGTGTTGGTCTCGAAATGACCTAGTTTGTGTCGAGTGGATGTTAAACCCCATTTCTCTCTCTCTCTCTCTTTATTGAGGAAACGGCTAAACTGCGGTTTACATACATAATATATATCAGCTTACTCAAGGTTCCACAATAGCCGTATAACAGACAATTAATTTTACGATTCTAATTCTGTTGAATTCTCTCCTTTGAAAAGAAAATATTTTAATACAATTGTATATGAAATATTTATTGTTTTTCAGGAGAATAATCGTAAAGATGAGGATCAAAATGAATTTGTTAGTGCCGTTACCTGGAGACCGGTAAGTAAATCTATGTTTCGTGGTAAATTGTACAAAAAATTTGTTCTGGTTCTATTTTTCTGTGTAGGATGTGTTGAAGATTGGACAGATTGTGATTGGTCAACTCCAAATCAATCATTATCAAACATTTTATTGAGTGCCAAGTGAAATTCAAATGTGTTTTTTACCATTGTCCAAGACTCAGGACATGTCTTTAGATGCAACCAAATACATAGTAATCTAATTGGTAATAGATTACAGTTTCATTTCGTTACTTGTTAGTCACAATTCATTTATTGATACTTGATAATGAGGCATTGTATGTTCTGATACAGAGAAGGGGGTTGGATGGCCGAATGGTTAGCATGTGCGCGCTGTATCATAAGGTCTATCATTGAGTCGACTGGCGTGGTTTCGATTCCCCGGTTGTACGTAACAAGGAGTAGGGTCACCTGTCCAACCTGGTTGGATTTCTCCAGGTCCTCCGGTTTCCTCCCACTGCTAAAGACCCCTACATGCAACCGATTTATTGAAATAAAATTGAACCATATGTTAGTCCCAAAATGACCTAGTTTGTGTGTGTGTGTGTGTGTCTCTCTCTCTCTCTGTTATACAGAGAAGTAGTGTATCCATAAGTCATATGTTATCTGTTCTTTGTTTTATGGTGCTGCCTATTTCTAATGTTAATAATAATAATAATCCTTCTTGCATAGCGATTGGTACATTCAGTAAAACTGCTCAGTGACGCACAAATTAATGTTGAAAATCACTTAAAACACTCCTTAAAATTTAAAAGTAAAACTGAGTTTAAAAGGTTAATGATTAACAGTACTGTAAACATATTTAAATCACTGATTAAAAGCCATATTAAAATAGTGTGTTCTGAGATTCTTCTTAAAACATGAGACAGACCAACTTTGTTTAATGGAAAGGGGCAGTTGTTTGAAGATTTAATTGTTTTGATTTGTATTTCAGAGTTCAAATGTTGTTGTAGCTGCTAACAGTCAAGGCACAGTCAAAGTAAGTTTTATTGTTTATTTAAGATTCAAGATGTGTTAGTGTCATGTGGTGATTACAGATATCCTCAGGATAGATTTAATTTCAATAAATCCCTTGTTATTCCCCGAGGGGGTTGTGTAGTCGAGTGGTCCAACACATGCAATTCAGATCATAAGATCTGTCATTGAATCAAGTGGCATGGTTTCTTTCACAGCTTTTTGATGATGAGAAGTAGGGTCGGCTTCCCAACCCAACCTCATGGGATTTTCCGTGACCTCTAATTTCACCTCAATCAAATTATTGAAATAAAGATTGTACCATATGACCTAGTTTGTACTGAGTGGACATTAATCCCCCATTGTGGCTGGTTGGATGGCCGAATGGTTAGTGCGTGTGCATTGTCCAGTTTACTCCCACTGCTAAAGACCCCTATGCGCAAGCGAATTATTGAAATAAAATTGAACCATATGTTAGTCCTGTTTCAGATAAGTAAGAGAGGAGTATAATAGTTATTGTTTTATATATTTTCAGGTTTTAGAACTAGTATAGTATATTATATAGAGAGAGGATTATCAACCACCATGTCTTTCATTACACCCTATATAGAAACAACACACAGTGCCTCATCATATATCATGGTTTATATATACCATACATCATATTGATGTCATTCACACATCTGTAAATATTCAACATAAATACTTACTTAATTACAAAGGGTTCATTTGTTCTAACTTTATGTTGGATGGGCGGTGCCATACAGGCTGCATGTTGGTTGGACAGTACGATGCAGGCTTCACTTGTTCTAAGTTTACGTTGAAGAACAGTATTCAGGTACGGTTTGTTCTAAGTTTTTATTGGGCTGTATAAGTGACTAACACATTCTATAATTAAGGATAGTGCTTGAACACGAGCACCTAGAATTTTTGGACTAACATGAAACTTGCCGTGCTTGTTCCTTGGACAATTATGCGTCAATTGACAGGCTTCCAATTTACAAATGATGTCACAATTTCAAGCTGGCTCAGTGACTGGTCCATATAGAACACTCATACTAATTTTAAAATATAGAAACAGATGGACTATCTCCTTTAATAATGTCAGCCAACTCTGTCAAGGTATTATATGTAATGTACAGCCCTTTGATATGGAGATACAATTTCTGTAACTTTATTATAAAAGAGAGCAAAATGTTATGTGATATAAATATTTCATTTCAAATTTTACAATGGCAAATAATTGTTTGTTTATATGTATACTAATATAGGTTTCATTTTTATTTGTTTGTTTATAAAGTAGGAACTATTAAAATTTATACAAATAAACAGTCTTTGTAAATGGGGCTGGGGGTGGGGAGGATTTGCTGGATTTGGTGACCTTAGGAGAGATATATAATGTATTATATTTTAAGATCTTTACAATCCAGTATCCATATTATACAATTTTATTTAAATTATCATTTATTAAGATTTTGGAATTATTTCTGTTCCTTGTTTACTATTGATTGTTAGTGGGCCATTTAATGAAAGAGTAATAAGTTAAAATTTCACTCATTACAAATTAGATAATTTATTATTATTATAGAAATTTATTTAAATTTATTATTACGATTTGGGAATTATTTCTGTTCTTTGTTTACTAGCAATAATGTTTTGGTTATTTAAAGATACATTATGTAAGATTTAGATAAAGAGCTAGCCATTCTTGCTATAATAGTTTGAAAGTAGATGATGTAAAATGAATAATTTGAAAATTTCATTCAACTTACTCTATTGCAAGCGAAGATATTAGCCTTTGAAGGTTTGACAGATGTGTGCAATAATTTCAACCACCATACTGATTGATCGAAGCTAAGTCTCGGCCCTCCATATTTGATTAAATCAAAGTATCGCTGAACCGTTCTAATCTATTTAATATCGTAGAAATCTGATGCCATCGAGAGTTGATTAAGGCCTGGGTCAGTTAATTAATGTCTAATTAATACTTTAGAAAACATTTCAGGCATAAAGAAAGACCTGCAATAGACAGATTTAGCTCTTGCATAATGCATGTTTAATGAAAGATAATTTATAATTATTATAGAAATTTTTTAAAATTTATAATTACGATTTGGGATTTATTTCTGTCCTTTGTTTACTAGCAATTATGTTTGGGTTATTTAATGAAAGATGATTTATAATTAATATAGAAATTTATTTAAATTATTATTAATTAAGATTTGGGAAATATTTCTGTTCTTATTTATTAGTAATTATGTTTGGGTTATTTAATGAAAGATAATTAACCCTTTAGTGATATTTTCAGGGAACCTGGCCTGAGTTCACAAAGCATTCATTTTGCAGCACCTTTTCTCTGGAATTCTCTACCCTTAGACATCAAATAATCAAAAACTCTAAGACATTTCCAAGTCACGTTTGAAGACACATCTATTTTACGAAAATAAACACTAACATAATCCACATAAACTTAAAAGCTCATTAGAAAAATTATCGAAGTATTGTTTGCGCTATACAAATTCTGTGTTGATTGATTCTCAGACTTAAAGGGGCATTAATTAAGAGTAGATAAAGGGCTGACAGTTCTCGTTATAATAGTTAAAAAATGGATAATGAAAACCAAATATGCTGAAAATTTCAGTCAAATTGCTTCACTCTGAACCAAGATATTAGCGATTCAATTTCAGGCTACCCTTGATCATCATTAATAATGTTGGTACGATAATAAAGCTGAGAATGCTTTGTGAACTCGGGGCCGGGGGTAGTCAATATTTACATATAGCAAGTTATAAAGGGTTAACTAACTATTAATAAGTTAACTTAATATTTTGTTCTTTACAAATTTAATAATTTATTATTTGACAACTTGGGTAAAGCAAAGAATTTATAGATTAACCCATAACTGATCAGATTCAAAATTTCTAAATAACATCTGTGGCCGAGTTCACAAAGCATTCTCAGACTTAAGTTAAGAATTTACTCAACTTTCAATCACTGTTTATGAGAAATATCTATGATCCAGAAACACAAAACATTGCACATAGTTTTTGATACATTAAAACGAGAAAAAGTTTTATAAAGGGCTATGTTTTAGTAAAAATAAGGCCAACAATTTTGAGTAAATTCTTAACTTAAGTCTGAGAATGCTTTGTTAACTCGAAGCCCGGTTACTAAATTATTGGTTAATTCATATTATTATAGATGAATGACAAGGTATCGTAGGTGACTTAAATTGAATAAATGATTATATTATAGACGTCCATTACTAAGTATATTAATCATTTGATGTGATGGTATTTCACAAGGCATTGTAGGTGACTTAAATTTAATAAATGATTATAATATAGACACTCATTATTATATTCAGATAATAATCATTTCATGTGATGGTATTTCACACATCGAGTTACAATCTTATTAAAATACACAGCCCAAATTTCATTTGGTTCTCATTTAGCTTCGATGATCTCTCATCGGTTGTCATTGGAGATCTGAGAGTGATTTGTGTAGGTGAACCTTGACTGAATATAGGTGAATGTAAGTATTTTTTTAACCAATCAGCATCTCTGTTTCTAGTATTATTTCTAAACCAGTCAGAAGTATCTTCCAGAATTCAAGGAACACTTTGTGTTGTGGTTGACTTAAACAGATGTATTTTATTGGCCATTCCCTTACATCAAACAGAACATAGTTTACATAAAAATCTTTCCAGGGGTTTTAATCATGAAAACTTAAACTTAGATATTTTAAGAATACTGACGGTTCATTGGATGTGCACTAAAATCATAGTACATAGTTTAGCATTTAGCCAATGAAAAGCCTGCATTCTTAAAGTAGTTTAGAATTAGGCAAATGAAGAGGCTGCATTCTTAAAATAGTTTAGCATTTGACCAATGAAGAGGCTTTATTCTTAAAATATTTTAGTTAGGGTCCCTTATCCTACTGCATTAAGGACAAATTAAATGAAATAAGGTCTGTATTTTAATAAGATTGTGTGGTTAATGTTTCATGAATTTTGATTGAGTTATAATTGTAGGACAAATCAGTCCTTTATGGATTTAGTTTTGTATTTAAACTTCACTGAATTTACACAGAAACTATTAGTTTCCCCATTTCATGGGTTTAAGAGTACATTCAACATATTATTGTATAAATTGTATATAATTTATTTTTATTCAGATAATCCTGTATTTATATGTAAATATATTATTGTCGAAATATTTCATATTCATATTAAACGTTTTGCATCACTTCCATTGCATAGAAGATCCATGTTCTAGTATTAATGATAGTATCACTGTCGAGTGTATACCTTGACTGTGTTAGTGTCTCGTACATTGAGATGAATGCTCTTCTAGAATATTTAACCCTTTCTTTACCAGTTATTAGCACACTCTGCAGATTTCTAGTATAGGCCATTCTAATAATTAAATATCACCTGGAAAGTTTTAAGTATTATTATGTTAAATCAGTGGTTCTCAACCTTTTTTTGCCAGTGGCACACATTGGAACACGTGAAAAAGTAACAGCACACCTGGCTAAATATATATGAGAAATATTTTAATTTTGCAGAATAAAAACACGGCAAGTCATAGACGGCATACAACTGTAGACACAGAATAGCCATAGACACATAGAATGACTCAAATTAAATAAAACAAAAACACAGCTATGAACTTAATTTTACTGCAGTGTTTCAAATTTCATCAGTCACATAGCTGACTTCTTAAGTGAGAAATTTGCTAAGTGTGCCGTTCAAAACTTCGCGGCACACTTAGGAAGATCTCGCGACACACCTGTATATCGCGGCACACTGGTTGAGAATCACTGTGTCAAATAATAAATAGTAAGCCACACACACTTCTGTGGAATCTTCTTATGCATCTTATAAATATTGTCCATTTGTTCATTTGTCATTTCATATATATATTTGTCTACCTCTACTAAATTTGTCTCATCAGTGGCCAGAACCTAATCTCTTAGAGAATGTTAATATTTACACAGAGGTGGCTCTCATTTACTTTCAAACCTACACAGTTAATTAACCCACATTAATCATTACCATGTTTTATTGAAATTAACATACTCTATTCATTGTAATTTACAGACACATTTGATTTGATTACCTAAATTTGATTCCCCGCTTGTATGTGACAAGGAGTAGGGTTGCCTGTCCTCTGGTTTCCTCCCACTGCTAAAAACCTGAACGTGCAAGCGAATTATTGAAATAAAATTAACCACATGTTACTCCTGAAATGACCTAGTCTGTGTCAAGTGGACATTAAACCCATTTCTCTCTATCTCTCATTACCTACATTAGAATAGATATGCGACAACCATTGGACTGCTGTGGGTGTATGTTTTGTTGCATGGCAACCTATCTTTATAGTCTATTGATAGTGCTATTGCAGTCTGTCATCCATGTCATAAGATGTTGTAAATACTTCTGTTACTTCTGTTTCACTATGTTTCTTTTTAAAAAAAAAAAAAATAACTGTAAATTATGTAGTCATAATCATGTCCACCCAAAACAAATCTTGGGTCAAAAAAGAAATATTTTTGTGTTTTTTGCTCATGATCATAGTATAAATGGCAATAGTAAGATATTGTTTATCCTACCAAGAAAATGTCTCCATTAGCAATATCAAATAGGGCAATATTTATAATTATTACAGGAGTTTCATTGGTTCGTTAAATCTGAAACAAAAAGGTCAATTTTTGGGCAGTAAAATAATCATATCAATGACGGACCAAACTTGCTGCTTCTTTCATGAAAAAAAATATCTTGATTTGTATTGATATCTTTAGAATAGTGATATCTTTCATATTTGGATCAAGCTCCAACATAATAGTTGACATTCTTCAAATTTTCAGAATTGACTAGGAGCCATGTTAATGAGAATTTTAGTTAAAATATATTAAAGATGTAGCCTTTTTATTTTATAGCCAACAAAAAGGCTGCTTCTTAAAAATATTTTGATGTTAAGGTTTTGTGAATATCGCCCAGAAATATAGTAGACAAAGGTTGAATTAATTCTTATCCAGATGGATAGTCAGCAATCGAACCCACTCTCGGATAAATATGTTTTTTTGTTTGTGACAACCTACTGTCCTTATCAAATATTTGACTTGTGACAGCAAAATGAGTAGAAAATCACAAGTCATTGTTGTATATCAAAATTGGCGGCTAAAATTTCTTTTTTTTTTTTAGTTTTAAAGATGTAACATGATTTCAAAATTGAAAGTTATATTTAATGAATAAAAGCAAACCAAAAGTATTGAAACGTTACATGTAATAAACCAAGAAGTAGTAAATCTATAAAGTTGTGTTATTATGAATATCATACCTCTACTTTTAAATGTTATTTAAGGATATGATCCAACAAAAAAGATTTTTTTAGCCTATTTCGACATTTTCATAACAAAACACAACACAAGGTATATATGGATACTTCTCTATTATTTAATAACGACGTTTCGTAACACATACTTGAAAACATGACTTGAATGTGTTACGAAACCTTGTTACTTGAAAACGTGACCTGTATGTGTTACGAAACGTGGTTATTAAATAATAGAGAAGTAGTTATATCCATATATACCTTGTGTTTTGTTTTGTTATGAATAGTTAACCGTGCTTCTAGATGTCATTTAAAGAATGTCAGTATTGAATGACTTTCGACACATTTTGCTATCACATGTGAGTTTAATGTAAGTGCTATTATTATTATTATTATTATTGTTAAATGATTGTGTATATTAAAGATTATTTTAAGGATAACAAATTAAATTTGAATGTGAAATAGTCATGGTGATGATTATTAATGATTCCTTCATGTTTCTCTTTATTTGATGTTGAAAATAAATTATATGGAAAATATTAAAATCTGGTTGTTTATTATTGAGTTGTGGCTCAGTGAGGAAGGTGCTAGCTAACTAACCTGGAGGGCCATGGGTCAGATCCCGGTGTTGATAGAGAAATGCGGTTTAATGTCTCTTCTGCAGCAACTGTACGTGCTACTGAAGAAGAATGGGGGTTGGGTGGTCAAATTGTATCTTAAGGTCTGTCATTGAGTCAACTGGCGTGGATTCGATTCCCAGGTTGTATGTGACAAGAGTTTGGTTACCAGTCTAACCGTGTGGGTTTTCTCTCGGTCTTCTGGTTACCTTCCATTGCTATAGATCCATATGCGCAACAAATTATTGAAATAAAATTAACCCATGTTAGTTCCAAAAAGACCTAGTTTGAGTCAAGTGGACATTAAAGCCCATCTCTCCTTTTCTCTATTTACAATTACATGTAACTTTTATGATACGTCACTCTCACCCTGGATTAACCAGTAGTTTCCCTTACGTCCACAATATCTTGTGTGAAACAGGGATCTGTGTTGCTCACTAACCAGGTCTGGGGTTTGATCCCGATGTTGGCTGAGAAATTTCACTGGGATTTCCAGTGTGGTTTCTCCTTGTCAGTGGTGCAGGGCAAGGAATAGTGTCTAGTCATTCAGATGGGAAGCTAAAACGAGTTCCTGTGTACACAGCGTGCACAAAATAGAATCGCTTGACAGTTCAAATTCGAAATAACAGTTGGCCGTAGCACTGCTCTCTGGGACAATATTTCCATCATAACACACTGCATAGCATATGCATATCTTCGTTAGCCCAGTTGACAAAGAAAAAAAAGTAGGAAGTTAAACACCATTTTATGTAATGGTCAAGTGAAATTCCACTTGATGTACCTACCCATAATTTGAAATCATTTGGATCCAGACCTTTTCGATATAGTGCATCAATTGTGTGAAAAACACTCCCAAGAAATATCCGACTATGTGATTCTGTGTCAGTTATTAAATCCAAAGTGAAAACTTTGTTATTTAGTCACTATCATTAATACTCCAAAGTGAGAACATTTTCTAGTGCCTAGTGCATTCCCTAGTGGATTGAATAGTTGCAAGATACAAATATCATCATTATTATTATTATTATTGACCAGTTTGAGAAGGCTAATATAGGCATATTACTATACCCTGAACATTCCCTTTCAGAGAAACAACAAATTACGTCGCAATAGTTTTCCGTTACACATTTTATTTAACGGTCAAGTGAAATTCCACTATTGACCAGTTTGAGAAGGTTAATACAGGCATATTACCCTGAACACTCCCTTTCAGAAAAACAACAAATTACGCTGCAATAGTTTTCCGTTACACATTTTATTCCATATCCATAGATTTGACTTGCGACATTCGTTTATTGGTTATATGAAAGATGTACACAAAATTCAATTAATGAAAGAGAAAAAAAAAACGATAACTTTTCAAAATATCTGAATGATATTAGATTATTTATACATGCATAAAGAAATTAAAGCCAATTAGAATTGAGCTTTTGCTTATGATATGCATAGATTTACCATACAAAATAACACAGATGGGATGAATTATATAATTCTAAGTTTGGGTTAGTATTGTATGCATTAGGCTCTCCTGATAAAACTTAAAATGAAAAGATCTCTTTGATTTGGGTCAAAATTTTTTGATTTCACTGATTTTTTTGCTGTTGACTTAACTGAAACTTTTACCTCCATCTAGTGTTGACATCAGGGGGGTGTCATTTCAAAATTTTGCTCCTCAGACATTTTTAGTTGAGGTTAAATAAAGAGGGCAGAATCAGGTCAACAGAAGTTGTCAATTTTAGGAAAAAGAGTCAATAAGCTTCCATTCCCTTTAATAGACTTTAACAACAAATTACAAATATTTTTTATGTTATGTAGCATATCGTGTCCTGAATAATAGTACAAAAAACAGGTGCATTTTGCTATTTAACATATTAAATTCCTGTAGAGGATTCTAATTCATGTCAGTAATATTCCTAAAAAATATGTGTTTTCGTTTATAGGATAATATTCCATACAGGATTCGTTTATAGGATAATATTCCATACAGGATTCTAAGTCATGTCAGTAATATTCCTAAAAAAATATATGTTTTCGTTCATACGATAGGAAATCAAAGCTGTCAGTAATATTCCTAAAAAACGTGTCTTCGTTTATACGACAAAAAATAAAAGATACATGTATAACTAATTATATAATTTTGTCCCTTCATTAATAAAAATAATTCTTCAAATTAAAACAATTTCAATATTTTAGTTTGACTTAAATCAAAGAGGTTTCTCCCTTAAGTTTCACCATAATATATTCTTATGAGAAAGCAAATTTCTATGATTCTTGGGTAAGGACATTGACATGTAAGCATTCATATTACTTTAAGGGTGCAGTGAAATTACAAATCTGACCATCACTTATTGTACACACAAGACCAGGGGTGGCCAACCTATATCACAAGTAGCCATTCGAATGAAATTGAGTTCAATGTCCTTTGGGTTTTTTGCACCGACTGGACTAATCAAGAAATGAAATGAAATGGGGTTTAACATCCTACTGTTCTGCTCCGAACTGGGCTAATGAAGACGGGCATATCCAATACAGTGTGCTATGAGGGAAATTTTCCCCGAACAGCGGCACTACGGCCTACTCTTATATTGAATTCCAACTGTCAAGGGATCTTTTACACCCACGCCAATTTGTACAAGGGACCTCTGTTTTTCGTCCCATCTGAACGACTGACAGCTGTCCTTGTCAGGCCCTCTGTCCTGCATCACTGACAAGGGGGCACAACGCCGGAAAATCTGAATGAACTTTCTCAGCCAATGCAGGAATCGAACACCCGACCTCCAGGCTAGCGAGCCAGCGTCTTACCCATTTAGCCATCATGACCCCCGGACTAATCAAGAAGGGGTACCACATTGGTCCTCATGATCTAATATAAATAAGACCAGTGAGACACATATGTTAAAATTAAGGTAAATGAATGTTTCTATCTCTGTAAGGTGCCAAGGTGCTGGCCCACCAATCAGAAGGAGCTGATTTTGAGTAAGTTCCTCAGGATTTTCCAATGTGAATTCCACTTGACAGATGTATATGATGGAGGACCTGGCAAGGATCCGTGTCTATTCGATAAACCAAGGTTTGGCACAGAGGTAAAAGAACTCTTGACAGCTGGAGTTTGAAGCCGTTGTTCCGCGATCCAGGCATAATTTCCCTCATAGTACATGCTAAACCGTATTTCATTTCATTTCTATGTATGTAAACATTTTTTCTTAAATTAATCTTTTGAAGTCTCAGCGATAGTGTTTGGCACACACAATGTAACAGGTTGGCCTTCCCCTGGCTCGACACAGTTTGTATAATTTCATATCACATGATCCCATTGTGATGAAACAACTATCAATATTAAAGCTTTTTTTAACTCTAAATCTATTACTTAATACCTAATTAGTACCATTCATAGAAATGTACAAAATCTAAAATACATGTATTTACAAATTTGCATAACAATTTGGTAGCATACAGTATGTATATATTGATTTCGCTAGATCAGCTAACCCTTCAATCCATTTTTTTCTCAATATAACGTTGTCCAGTAATTGGCATTGTTAGCACATGCACATTGACCAATATGATGTGGTTTTGTATTTGTGGCTGTCTTGAGAGCACGGGACAAATGGCGGTCTCGGAGGTCAAGAGATATATTGGGGAGAGACGGTCAGGTGGTAATTCCTTGCGACGGCTAATTTGTGGCTGAACCGAGCTCCCATTGTATGCCTGCCTGGCACTGATCCCTCGATCGCGAGCTGTGCAAGCTTCAGAGTTTGAAATAAGAGGAAGAGACTGACCAATGAGAATGGATCTTACATATTGAACTTATTCAAATTAAGCATTACTCTTAGAACATGAGTTGCTGTTCAAAAATCTTATGTGTTAGGACATTTTTGGAGTGAACAAAGGTCAGAATTAGTTCACCATAAGTCGTTATTAGCTTCGGGACATAGGGTTGATAAGTTTGCATTCCTTTAACGGGGTTAACAAGTGGAGTGTTCCTGATTCTCCTGGATCATGGATATTTAAAATTCAGAAGCTTTGAATTCAAAGGGTTAGAAAAGTAATGCCTATTTATTTGTAAATCTATAATTTTATAATTTTATAAACTATATAACCTATGCTAAATACGGTCCTACTAAATATGTTACAACAAATATTATCTTAGGCCAAATCAATTTTAATTTGTGTTCTTCAAAAAAATCCAGTAAAAATTTTGTGTGTTATTCTTTTTGGAGAGAGAGAGAGAGAGAGAGAGAGGTGTGTTTAACTCCACTCCACACAAACTAGGTCATTTCAATACATGTAATTCGTTTGTGAGTAGGGGTCTTTTAGCAGTGAGAGGAAACGGGGGGATCGGGAGAAAACAGCATGAGGTTGGACACGCAACCCTACTCCTCATAACGTACAAGTGGACAATCAAAACCACGCCACTTGACTCAATGACAGACCTTCTGATCCAACGCGCATGCGTTAATCATTCGGCCATCCAACCTCCCAAATCATCAAGATCCTAAAGAACCAGTGCTTCATGTTTATAAAATTGTGCGGGAGCATTTGCCCCCCCCCCAAAATTTATTTTCGGGCAATGAAAAATTCGACGACCTTATTTTTCTATTAACGTTTAGAGAAAAAATATAACTAACTTATTTCTATGAGATCCACACTGCCCGAAAAGTATTTTCTCGTCTTTTTCTTGTCCACTGCATGCCCGAAAATATGCCCGAAGCTCTCTTATGATAGGTATGCCCGAAAAAAGGTATTGATTTCGGGCAATTTTCTCTTATGCCCCCCTGAATTACTTTGAGCTCCTACGTCTATGCTGAAGAACTAAAAATCAAACTGACTTGGCCTAAATTTTAGCTAATTTCTCACAACATACATAATCAAGCATAGAAACAAATAATATTATTTGAACAATAAAATCCAACATCATCTTAAATAATAAATACAAAATTATAATGCTAACACCAAATTAGTATAACAATTAACAATAAAATGTACACCTTATATCTTCAAAAAAATGAAATATATTACCATTTTAGAAGCAGGGAGCAAGGTCCAAAAGAAATGATACCAGGGATTTCAGCAAGCTCTTTATTTACAAATTTTGTTTACTGTGGATAAGTAGGATATTTTTTTTCCAAAGAATATGATAACTTTTAGTATTATTCCATTTATTAAATATATTTTCAAGTGTTTTAGAGGAGGCAAGTCGCTAACTCGATATCATTCACAGTCTTCGACATTGAAAACACGACTTATTGGTCAATTTAAATCAACATTGTTGTTTTATTTACCATGAAAAGATGGGCTTCTGAAATATCAAATATCATCCACAGTCTTCGACATTGCAAACACGACTTATTGTCAATTTAAATCAACATTGGTGTTGTTATCTTAACATGTAAAGATGGGCTTCTGATATCCAATATTTAAGACAAAATGAACATTTTAAAATTGGCACACAAATCGCATGCCAGAATGCTTTAGAGTGCCATTTGTAATTAAGCGACTTGATGAACAAGGCTAAACATACCCCACAGAATACTACCGGTGTAGACTGGAATAACCAGTCGCCAAAGACTGCCATTTAATTGGGACTCTTTGCATATTTTGCCGAACATAACTGATTAGAAATCACAGTAATATTGAATGTAAATCAATTTATATACATTCATAATACATTATTATACACATTTGTGTCCATTTCTAGGTGACAAAGAATAGAGATTTAGCTCCTTTATGGTTAAATTTCTTTGAAATTCTAATGCTAAAATGACTGACAGATAAGTTCTACAGTTGGTCAATTTCACTGCCTGGTCAGTAAAGACTGGCAGATATGACTGAAACAAGAGCCATGGATCAAACTGAGTTTTACCAATTACTGCTAGAGTTTATGATGAGCCCTGTGTTTGATATAGCTTTATTTAACATCCACTTCCACCAATGAACTGATGAAACCAGTAATTAAATAATGCTGATGATATGATGTCCATTAAGATGGTGATGATTAAAAAAAAAATTAAAAAATTTGATCCCTTTTAAAATACAACAAACAATTTTCATCAATTTCATCAATAAATTACTCAATGAATATATTTCATCAATTATTTTCTAATCAATTATTTTGTCTATTTTTAATCACCATAACCATTTAGACAAGCCATTATAAGATGTTATACAAAGTTTAAAAAAATCTACTCAAAATCTGCTAAAATACTGCACAAACTTTGATCAAAAATAAGTTTTACCATCGAGCACCGACCAATGTTAAGGGATGGATATTGAAATGGGTCATGTTTTTCGTCTTTTCTCAGGGTTTTTTTCCGAAGCATATCTAATAACCCATTAAAGATATCTTTATGAAACTTTGCTAATTAGAAATGTTTCAGATTTAATGGTTACATGTGTTTCAATTTGACTTAGGTTTTGGCATTTGGCATGTTGATGACATGGGCTTTTTGTTTGAGTTACACTTTTGTTAAAAAAAATTTTTTTTTTTTTTTGGAGGGGGGAGGGATTATAATTTTGGGGATATTTTCGACAGTTGTAAGGAATATTGTAGTATTTTCATTCCAGTAACATAACTAAAGTATCATCGAATATTTCTCCAACTGTGTCCATACCACCATTTATTAAACATAGCGTGTAAGTTTTCATGTCCGCTTGTGATGTGACGGGTGCATCTCCTGTGGTTGAATCGTTTGTTGTAACATTCTTTGCCTTATCTGGAGATGTGAAACTATCTGTCACGTCGACTATATTACAAGCTCCAACCGAATCTGTCAATTTTTCTGTCTCCGTTTCTGCTGTCACTTCTGAAAATGTAATAAAATTGGGGTTTAACGTCCTACTGTTCTGCTCCGAATTGGGCTAAAGAAGACGGGCATACACCATACAGTGTGCTAAGAGGGAAATTTTGCATGGACAGCAGCACTACAGCCTACTCTTATATCAAATTCCAACTGTCAAGGGATCTTTTACGCGCACGCCAATGTGTACACAGGTCCTCGGTTTTTTGTCCCATCCGTACAACTAGACAGCTACCTGGCTAATCAGAAATGACATCACCAGAATTTTTTTGGGTGATTTGATATATGTTTATTTCTTGCAATGTAATTTCTCCTATCCGCAGGTTTGTCAGTTTTGTTTTGTGTGTAGTGTGGTCTTCCTGTACATACTATTAGATATTTTCCAATATATAAGGTGCCATATTTAACCATCACAGAAATGGAGCTACATGATCAAAAGTCAATGTGTAATTTTGTATGCCACTAAGATCGAAGTCCTGGTTAAACAGATGCTAAATCTTCCTAATATGGTATCAAATCGCTCAGCAGAGAGCTGTTAAAGGAGCATGACTAATGGGAGATTTTTTTTCAGCTCACTAACCAAATACAGAAAACAAAGAAAGGCATTTGATTTTCAAATGTTTGACAAATTGGATACACAAGTGAATATTTTGATTTTAAACGAAACAACAGCACTCTACGTTATACCAACGTGATTAAATAACAGATCTGTATTTTGTTTCGTTTTTTATACTTTCGATGGCTTACACTACATGAAGATCTGACCGGTTGTACTGGAAGGTCATGTCAGAGGTTATATGAGCAGCATGAAATGCCAAGAACTCGCTTCAACCAGAACACTCTGGTAATATAACAACTCTTTCAGATTCTAGTAAAGACAAGTAAAACGAAATTTTGAACTATCAAAAAGAAATTTGGAACTATTAAAAACGAAACGAAATAAGTTCTGTGTTTATAATCAGATTGACTTTCTACCCACTTCATTCGATATTCAACTAATGATCATACATTTTAATTATTTTTGGAAGGATGAGGGTCAACTAAACCTTATTTGTAATTTTTCGACTTGTGCGGTTTTTACGTGTACCTTTATTTTTTTACCATGCAGCAGGAAATACATACCTGTGGTTTGAGTAGGAACTGAACCTGTGACCTCTAAATCTTTCTCTAATAAATGTGTTGTGTTTTGGCGAAGTTCGTTAATGGACGATGATGACTGGTCGTTGTTGTTTGTTGATGATGATCTGTATATATCTATGATACACATCCCAAAATCCAACCTACTGGAGGGCGGTGGACCATCAAGTTTTATTTCACTCCATGTCATACTAACTGAAAATATATATAAAAAAAACCCCAGATATAAGTGGAATTATCTTATTTCCTCTAGCAATATGGAAAGTGATCAGCAAAGCTCACAATAAATCAATAAGAGAGAGAAATGGGGTTTAACGTCCACTCGACACAACTAGGTCATTTCGGGACTAAAATATGGTTTAATTTTATTTCAATAATTTGCTTGCGCATAGAGGTCTTTACCAGTGGGAGGAAACTGGAGGACCCGGAGAAAACCCACGAGGTTGGACCGGTGAACCTACTCCTTGTCATGTACAACCGGGGATTCGAAACCACGCCAGTCGACTCAATGACAGACCTTATGATACAGCGCGCACACGCTAAAAATAAATAAAGTTTGTCATATGACTGTTCATGCTGGTCAAAGGTCAGGGCTGTTTAAGCTATATTGTACATGTAGTACAGTTTTCCCCTTCATTTACTGGATGATGTGACCACCTAATTACCATATTATAAACATGTACATATTGTATATTGGTTAATACATGTTATATCTAAATGTATTCAAAGTTTCTGTTATATGACCCACATATACATGTACTTAAATTAATCTTTTAACTGATCTGTATATTTTTTTTTTTTTCTCTATTGTAAATTATTGTCATGTGTTATTCAATTTATTAGCTATATCTTTTGTATTATATTTTCTACGAAGGACAGGATGTTAGAAAGGCTATTATAGCCTAATCTTCAACCCTTCTTAAATAAAGTCATTATTATTATTTATTATAATCCAGCCTTTTATCAATAGTAATCGAGATTACAAGTAGTTATACAATCACTACAGTCAATATATTTTGGAATTTTGAATATTATTCACCAAATCTTGATGTCCGATTGGGCATATTCCTAGTCGGATTTTGGGAAAATCGTGTAGGACATGTCCGGAATATACGGGCGAAATAGCATCCCTGGACAAAAGTGTCACCTGCTCAAACTATTCACTTTTCTCCAAGTCCTCCGGTTTCCTCCCACTGCTAAAGACCCTTACGCACACGCATATTATTGAAATAAAATTGTACATGTTAGTCCCGAAGTGACATGGTTTATGAATGTTAAACCTCAGATGTATATCTCGTGCATTTTAATCATGGTATTTATAAATATGAAAGATGATAGGATCCCTTAATAATAACTCGTAACATATCGTATTTTCAGCAACAATCACGTACATGTTTAAATAAAATTATACCATGTTAGTCCTGAAATGACATGGTTTGTGAATGTTAAACCTCGTGTATAACTCGTGCGTTTTAATCACGGTGTTTATAGATATGAAAGATGATAGGATCCCTTAATCATAGCTCGTAACATCGTATTTTCAGCAACAATCACGTACATGTTTAAATAAAATTAAAATGTTAGTCCTGAAATGACATGGTTTGTGAATATTAAACCTCGTGTATATCTCGTGCGTTTTAATCACAGTATTTATAGATATGAAAGATGATAGGATCCCTTAATCATAGCCCGTAACATATGGTGTTTTCAGCAACAATCACGTACGTTGGATATAGTTTTCAATCAAAGGAATAATTAACATTAATAGATTATATTAAAGATACATGCTCATGAAAGTATTTATACGAGTTATTTAATGGTAGTAAAAAAGAAAGGTATTACATTCCTTGTAAAAAAAAATACACAGGGATCCACTGACTACATCAGTGTGAAAGAATGGAATTTAAAGGCCCTTTCTTTAGATAATATTAATAACATTTCTAGTTTATTGAGTGAAGTATGGTATAGACTCAAGTACGGTAGAGACAGCTGGAATTATGTAAGGACCATATCAACAATACCAGTACACAAAAGATCAACAGAAGTTTGTTAAGTACATATTAGAAATCAAATGGGAGAGGGTGAGAGAAATGGGATTTAATGTCCACTCAACACAAACTGGGTCATTTTGGGACTAACATACAGTTCAATTTTATTTCAATAATTTGCGTGGGCATAGGGGTCTTTAGCATTGGGAGGAAACCAGAGGACCCTGAAAAAAGTTGGACAGGGGACATACATGTATACCATATATAAGGACAGCAATAGCATTTCCACCTACAATTGCAACTGTCAAGGGTCCTTTCATGTGCACATCAATTTGTACAGAGGAAATCAGGACTAGAAGCTGATTCTTGCCAGGCAGAGAGAGAGAGAGAGAGAGAGAGAGAGAGAGGGGTCTTTAGCAGTGGGAGGAAACTGGAGGACCCAGAGAAAAATAAAACCCATGAGGTTGCACAGACGACCTCACTCCTTGTCACGTACAACCAGGGAATCGAAACCACGCTAGTTGACTCAATGACAGACTTCATGATACAGCGCGCAGTGTTAACCATTTGGCCATCCAAGCCTCCCAGGCCACGATAACCCAGCTTAAAAAAAAAATAATTTATCTTAAACAAACTTGGCTGAACCATCTGAACTTAATAGATGGTAATAGATCCTGTAATAATAGTTGTTGTAACTGGTAATGTTGCATGAAGAATGCCAGGATGTTCTCGACATTATGAAATATATCTAATCTACTCAACAAATTAATAAAGTGTGAAAATATCTTTAAATAGAAAAGCTATTAGTGCCTGAAGGTTGGTTCTAACTACTACTAAATTACAAGATGGATGGATGGCTTTATAATATGTGTATACACAGTTAAAGGTTATGTCCCAGATATATTTCACCAATGAAATGAAATGGGGTTTATCGTCCTACTTTTCTGCTAATGAAGACGGGCATACCCCATGAAGTGTGCTGTGAGGGATACTTTGCCTGGACATCCTTGCTATGGCCTACTCTTATTTTGTACTCAAATGTCAAGGCCAGGGTTCTTTTCTGTGCATGCTGATGTGTGCACAGGTCCTCAGTTATTGCTGACAGCAGAGAGAGAGAGAGAGAGAGAGAGAGAGAGAGAGAGAGATGGGATTTAATGTCCACTCAACACAAACTAGGTCATTTTGGGACTTAAATATGGTTCAATTTTATTCCAATGATTCGCTTGTGCATAGGGGTCTTTCGTGGTGAAAACAGCAACAGAGTCAGGATAAGCATGTCTATAATCATTATGTAATCTGATTTTTTTATATGCGTTACGTGGGCCTAACTCTTATAAATAAATCTGTCAATTATTTCCAAACAGCTCAAGATGCTTTAATGAAAATTTTCAGACAAAGAAAGAGACAGAACTAGGGTTTAACATTTACTCCATTCAAACAAACAAGATTATGTCATTTCAGGACTTTCTTTTCGTTTCTTTTTTGTAAAAATTTGATAGCACTAAGGGACTTAGAACCCAGATAAAACCTACAAGAGAGAAAGAGAAATGAGGTTTAACTTCCACTCAATACAAACTTGCACTTAGGGGTCTTTAGCATTGGGGGGGAACTGGAGGAGTTGGGGAAAACCCACGAGGTTGGACAGGTGACTCTACTCCGTATCATATACTAGCGGGAAATCAAAACCTTGCAACTTGACTGAAGGACAGACCATACGATTAAACTATTCACCTTATGATCCAACGTGCACGCTATAACCATTCGTCGTACTATTATTGGAAATAACTACCCTATAAATAGGTTTTATATGCATTTTGAAGATATCAAAATACACGGTTGAACAGGCTACACGAATATTTCAGACCTCATGACCTAAAACACACCCATAAGGTGAGCAACATGAAATCTTATACCAAACTTAATAATAAACAGGAAAAAGGTTTATATATGGGACTTTTTTTTTATCAATCTACATTGTATAGACTTTGAATTCTGTCTTATGGTTTGGATCGTTCGTACTTGGTTTTATTTTATTAAATTTACATTCAGACGAAAAAACACTATAACAAGACATGCTACCACACTACCATAGCCAACTCCATCCTCTGGGGTTAAAAAATAATTGAGGAAAGATTATATCCCCCCCCCCCTACAATCTGGGACAGGTCCTTTAATCCATAGAGCCTTAGGCATCACTTCCCCCCCCCCCCATCTGGGACAGGTCCTTTAATCTATAGATCTTGAGGCATCCCCCCACCATCTAGGACAGCTCCTTTAATCCATAAAGCTTGAGGCATCTCTGCCCCCCCCCAACCATCTAGGACAGCTCCTTTAATCCATGGAGCTTAAAGCGCCCCCCCCCCCACCATCTAGGACAGCTCCTTTAATCCATAAAGCTTGAGGCATCACCCTCCCCCCACCATCTAAGACAGCTCCTTTAATCCATAAAGCTGGAGGCATCCCCCCCCCAACCATCTAGGACAGCTCCTTTAATCCATAAAGCTTGAGGCATCTCCCCCCACGCCCAAACCATCTAGGACAGCTCCTTTAATCCATAGAGCTTGAGGCATCTCCCCACCCCACCATCTAGGATAGCTCCTTTAATCTATAGAGCTTGAGGCATCTTCCCCACCCCACCCCCACACACCCCACCATCTAGGACAGCTCCTTTAATGCACAGAGCTTGAGGCATCACCCCCACCCCCTATCTAGGACAGCTCCTTTAATCCACAGAGCTTGAGGCATCTGCCCCACCTCACCACCCCACATCTAGGACAGCTCCTTTAATCCATAAAGCTTGAGGCATCTATAAATATGATGAATCATTGGGCTGTAAAACTATAATCTATTAGCCATTTATCACTGTAGGACAGATATCAGATATCTCATCACTATTTAATTCATATAAAAAAATATATATTAACAATGTCAGCCTGATTCTATTGAGGAAGTATATACTACAAGTATAAAAACATCTTGTCATTGGTTGGCTCAGAGTTATCAAACATAGTGTACTTTACACTTTTTAAAATAACTTATGTATAAGATAGAGGGCCACATAACATAATATAGATCATTGAGAGAGAGAGAGAGAGAGAGAGAGAGAGAGAGGGTTTAACATCCACTCGCCACAAACTGTGTCATTTTGGGACTAACATATACATGTAGTTCAAATTTATTTTAATAATTTGCTTGTGCATAGGGTCT